AGAAGTCTGGAACTCAAAAAGATATAATAGATACAATATGTTATCTGAGAGTAATAATATAATATGACGCAATACATGTTATTGACAGTGTTTCATGTGGGAAGCACATAACATAATAGTCAGTCGGCCTCTCCTTGTTTACATGAACATTATTATTGTAATATTGCACCGAAAGTCGTCAAGGCCATTCGCTAGAACTATCGGACCTTCCTTCCGGACGACAGTTGGAGAGCAATAGTTTCGTGTAAAGCTGCAGTGTAAATATATGACACATGTTTATTATACATTTACATAAATACTTGTATGTATATGTGTCTACTTCGCACGACTTAAGAACCAGTCGGCTGTACATCCCGTTTATAAATAATAATATAAAACAATACTTAAAATATGTAAGTATATTTATTTATTTTTTTATTAAAAAAAAAAATGTTTTCAAAAATGTATGTTGAAAAAAAACAATACTTAAAGATACTTAAAAGAACTACTATCGGGATTAGTAATTTAATTAATACGAGTATAAATGTGTACGTATCAATAAATATCTAGGAAAATTAACTATATTATAACTATAAATAACTTATAGTAAAATTATGTTCTTAGACAATTTTTTCACGAACAGTTTTAATTATATTTAAAAAATTTGAAAAGTATACCGTAAACGGTGGTATAAACATTAAAAAATATCAAATCTCTACAAATATTATTTTTTAAATTATAATGAAAACATATATTTTATATTGTTGAAAACTGGTATATCGTAAATTTTGCCATTTTTTTTTTTTTCTAAATATTTTCATATATTTTTCGTAATTGTTAAGAAAAATGTTAAGAAATTCATAAAATTACTCTCGCCAAGTTACTAATTAGACCTTTTCTATCTAAAATCTTATACAGTTGTGATAATCAGATCAATTATTTTGGTCAAACATAAAAAATACACATATCATGGTAAAACCAATACATTCCTCGTTTCAATCTGAATCTAAAATGGCAACAACATGTTCATATAGGACATTGAAATATTTTGTAGATTAAGGCATCACATTAAGGTGATGGCAAACGAGAATATTAAAATTCAATTAGACGCTTACGGCAAGGTCCTGGAATAACTTTAACCCTGATCTCGAGAAATATTTATTTACTAATATACGTGTAATACTTATTGATTGTTATAAACAATATTCATTGATTTGGCAGATAAGTATATTTTTATGGATTTATAAACGTGATTAAAACAAAAAACTTAATCATATTAGCTTCACTACTACACCATAACTCAGCAGCAATATTATTATTTTTTTTAGACACCTTTATTAACAATACATAACATTATACATAACCTACTCATAACCTATAGACATATAAATATATTATTATAAAATTTGTACTTCAAATAATTGTCAACAGAACGCAATTTTATATTAATTTTACCAAGTAATGGTTAATTAATTTTTTAGGTTATATATTTAAAAATCAATTTATATATATATATATATCCTTGAATTACAATTCATCTATAAAATAGTAAGAATGTATGCGATATTTATATATTTATCATTCAACGACGATACCGCATAAATAATAATACACCATAAACTTTATTTTAAATTGCAATCCATGTATGTATCATTTTACTAAAGAATAATTGAGTTAAATAATTAAATTAATTGTATGTACATTATACAGTAAAATTTCATTTATAATCATATAAGAACACAATAATTATGTTTAAACATGGAATATGAGTACAAATAGATATGACAATTAAATCATTTTAACTAGTCCTATGTAAAAAATTAAATAGTTAATTTATCAAATAATTTTGTCGTTTATTTGCTTATATTACAGGTAAAATACAAATTAATAAGTTTATTCAGTATTCAATTAAATATTTAAATTGTTGGCTACTTTGATGCTAAATAATTCTTTCTAAAATATAAAAATATACTTCATATGTATATAAAATCTTATACTATTAAGTAATTATATATAATATAGTAATATTATTAATAATTAAAGAAAAATTAATTCAACATGAGTTGCAATCAGCAGAGATATTTTTGGAAAGTTATTACTTTTAAGGAAATTATAGTTATATTATTTTAAACTAATTATAAATTTGTAAAAATTAAAAATATTCAAACGGATATCTACTCGTATTTGATGTTTTTTTTTAAGTATTGTTGTAGTATATTATTACGTCAAACAAATCGTTCACAAGTTATAATTTAATTAATGTAATAAGTAGCAATGTGATGCGTGTGAAATAAATAACCAATTATTAATGTTTACAACTTACACATTTTTAGTGTTAAATTCAACACAATAATGTACATATTAATATACTTAAAATAAGTACATTGTTAATATATTAGTAAATCATTCATTTAAAATACAAAACACAAAAAGGTCCGAAAATTCATTGTCTACATTTCAAACGCAAAAACATAAAACAACTTTGACTACAACAACTGCTACAAGTCTACAACATTCAATAATATAGTAGTATTTTTAAGTTGAAAAAAATTTAAATATTTTAAATACCACGCATGTCACACCTTTAATATACACTGCAAATATGCGCAATGACAAAAATGTCACGAACATATTAAAAATCTCACTAGATTATTAGATACACATGTGTTTTCTTTTAGCTTTTTTATATCGCAGACTAACATTGACCTCGTTACCACAATCTACTATTATTAACAGACCATGGCATATCGACTGCTAGACATTGAACCGTTTGGAGTCATTATAAGTCATTTCAGACTTTCAAGATCATGCTGTAGATACTCTGGAGTTTTCAACAAATATTTAAAACAGGCATAAAATGAATATTATTTTTCTTGACAATTTGCATAGAGTTTCAGAAAGTTTACCGTTCTAGAACTTGAACTTTAAATATTAAGATAAAATACGAATGCTATATCAATGATTTAAAACGCCAAGTGCGATATTTTACGAAACAGATTTTTTGACCTGGACGACGAGATATGAGAATTGATATAGTTATTTGATATAGTTTGCACTGTTGTAGTGCCACTAAATATGTTTCAAAATGAACCGAATCCACATTGTCAAAGTTACAGTAAATCCGAGGGATAAAAGCCGAAAAGCAGCACAGACGAGAGCTGATAAATTTATCGCTTTGTGTAAACATAGCAAATAAAACCAGGGTATAAATGTCGTATTCACTACGTGACGAACATCAACACGGAATAAATGTATATTATATCTTCGCAATTAAAAACAATAATAATAATATTGGTGAAAATGATATGAACTATAGCAGTAATTATGTTGACGAACGGTTTTGCTTTCACTGACGCTTATTGATGCATAAGAAATTGATGAAGAAATTATTGGAGCAAAATACACACCTCGGTGTTTGGACTGTTTCGTCGCAACTCCAGGGGAGGGGAGGCGAGCTATGTAAACATTGAAAACCAAACGTCTGTGCAAGTGAACGGAAAAATGGTTGTCGTGTGATAATCCAGAAGATTCAGCTTTTAATAACCGGAAAGAGACACACTCGCTAAATGGAGCGATTTACTACGATATAGTGCCGGGTTGTACAACTGACGTGAGTCTGAAACTAACAATAATCTTCGCCAAGTCTTGTTCACGGACGGTATATATAGAGGAGTAGTTTTATTCCTTAGAACTTCTTCTCTACGTTTCGCACTCGGAGACAATATACAAATTTATTGTTGGGTCAAAGATTTGGCACTCGAATCCTAATGTCACTTTAATCATTGTAACCGTCAAACGACACAGTACGTTTCTACGTATTTGTATTGTAAGCGAATATTAAGTTATTGAAGGAAAAAAATTTCAACCCTTTCCAGTCCAACGTGTGATCACTTTGGAATTTTAATTTTTAATTTTTTTCTAAATTACTACATAGAACATCAATAAGTCGAAAAAAAAATTTATTTTATTATTTTATATCCATTGGTAGAAGATCACAATTTTTAACCAATTCATATTATTACTGACCATTGATTGACGGAAGATCGGCTTTGCATCTACAACGATACCCCCGATTAACACTGATTAACACCCCTTCGCCGGGTGTTACTATCGCAACGGTTACTATTACACGGTATTGTCGAACACTCCATTTGTGCAATCGTCCAAATCCGTATACACGTTGAACCTACGGTGCTATATGCGCTCACTAATTGCAGAAAGGGGACATGTCCACAAATGTTTTTTTTTTACAGGAGACACGTAAATCTACCTAGGCAAAACTTAGGAAAGAGGTAGGTTTAAAAATGAGTACATTACCTTAACACTCACTTTTCTGAATGTTTTAACGCAGCGGTTCTCAAACTTTTTTTTCCGCGGTGCCTTTTTTTAGACTCAATTTAGTTACGGTGCCCTGCTGTGAATAACATGAAAGACAGGACAAAAAAAAAATACTCATTGATAACTAATTTTATTAATTTTATTAAAATTTTAACTTAATTATAAATTAACGAATTTTTAAACTTAACAATTAAATAAATAAAGTTTTTGTTATCATTATTATAATTATTGTATAAAAATATTATAAGGTTAAAATGAGAATGTCCGAATAAACAATAGAAAATATTTCATTATTTGCTATAAAGTTTTTACAAAAACAATAAGGGAAAAAATATCTAAACATTTTAATTTATTTTTTATGAACCGTAGACCACGGTGCCCTTAGAAAGTGCTCGCGGTGCCCCTAGAGCACCGCGGTGCACAGTTTGGGAATCGCTGTTTTAACGGATTAGTCCTGTTTTTACATAAAATATGTGTTTAAGACAGATAAACACAAATCCGTGAATAACTAAATTTCCCAAAAATTGGACGTGTCCCCTTTCAGCGATTAGTGATTCATATGCGCTCACGGCCGGTGTTGAATTCACTGCAACGCGCAACCCGTCACACGGTCGCAACGACGGTACACGTCGCGTTGACATCGCAGGCGCGAGCACCGTTGTCCCGCGGTGGAGGGAAAAGCAACGCGGCGGTTTGCGGGACGCGTCCGGGCCGACGAGTGCGACCGGCAACAGTGTCATCCAACCGCTCCGACGCTATGCGCCGCCACCGGTTCGTCCTGACAATACTGTTACTGTTGCCGGCCGTCCGGGCCGCGGTCGACACGGGAAACGCACAGCGCGCACGGCCCAAAAACGGTACGGCACCGCTTCGCGAAAAAAAACGAAAAAAAAATAACCAAAACACAATTTAACGTCTTGGGTGCTGCGCGTCCAGCGGTAACGCGGCGACCGTTCGATGTCCGTCGTATTCTATTTTCATTTTTTTTATTTTGTTTACGGTTTTTTTTTTTTTTTTTTGCGCGCCATGCGGTCCCCAGTTTTTTCTATTCGTTTTTCGTTTTTTTTCGTCCTCTTTTTTTTTTTTTTTTTTTTTCATATGCGTGCAGATGATTCGTCCCTCAACAGCCTGGAAGACGTGGACCTCAGCTGCGACGGAGGCAGATGCGGCTCGAACGAAGACGACGCGTCGAGTTGGACTACCACCAAGAAACGTAAGCGAACCCCTACAACGGGTCTTACGTGCTTATCACGTGGACGGCTTACGCGACAATCTTTTAACGTTTAATTAACACACGTTTCCGTTTCCGTTTCTTTCGGATGAGAAATCGGAAAAATGTTTTTCAAAAGATCTACGAACGTTATGTATAATTGATGAATGATTCATTCGTTAATCGTTAATCGTAATAATTATATTGGAAATAACTTTGTACGTCTTCGCGTAACGTTGTCGCCTCGATCGATTAACACGTTCAACAATCTCTATTACGAGTATATTTCGATCTCGGTACACACGTGTGCATATTACGGGAGAATGTTATTATTTTTTAATTATCCGGGTCAGTATAGATAGGTTTTATTCAGATTGTTGATTTAATAAAGGGATAAAAACGATAATTACGGGATAAAAAAAACGCGCTATACCTTTGAATTACAGTCTGCAAAGAGTAACTTTAAAATGTTTGTACTTTTTGAACATTTTTATCGTCAACACATTAGTCCATAGTGAATACCTACGTTCGTTTTTTGTATTTTAAATATTAATCTCATGGTGTATATTGTATTTACGAATTTTATTCTACGAATTTATGACTAATTAACAAGTCGCGAATTATGTAGACGCTCTGAAATAAGATTCCTATTGGTTATTGATACAAAATATTGGTCGAGACAACGGAAGGTAGTTTTAGTCTCTTGAACTCCGTTACAACCGACATGCATTGCAATTGCATTTATACGTAAATATAAAGTAAAAACAACTTATTTACACTGTTACTGTTTTTTTAGAATCCTATTAAAATTTACTAAGTAAGAACTATTGAAGTTTAGAAAAGTTTTTACCTACATATATGCAGTTTATGTATATATATACATAAGTATATAGTTAGATTTTTCAAGTCTGTACAATTCACGACCTTCGTGGCTTTCAACGATTTTTTTATGTTGCCGTCACCTTTTGATCTATCATGACACAAACACTCTCTCACCTCCGCTCCATATTTTATACTCCGCAGTGTGTATTTCACTTATTTTTCACTTTTTTCTTTTCTTCAACAATATCCTCCGATATATCCATCTTCTTGTGTTCAATAGTACGTAGTTTTCCGTAGAAAAAACATTGATGTGTTAGTACTCACTTCACCGCCATACATTTTTTCCCCATAGGTGGGTACATATTATTATTTTTTTATTTTTATTTTTTATTATTCGTTTCATTTTACTTCCAATTTCTTTTATGCGTACATAAAAGAAATGTCTTTCCATTCAACTTTAAGGTTTTTATACAAACTACTTTTATTTGAGTTACGAATATACTACAGTTAGAATAAATTGTATAAGTAACAAATCGTTTATTTTCCACATTGGAGCGTGGTTAATAATCTGTGTGATGAAAATTTGTTCATTCCAGTAGTATTTTCGAAATTATTTTATCTTAGTGTTCAAAATTAAATAAATTATGAATAGCCAAATTTTTACTAACATCTGTAGAGTTTGTAAAACTACGATTATATATATAATTTCTAAACGATTTCGATTCGATTTTTTTTTTTTTAATTTTTTTGACTATAAATCATTCCTTTCAATTATTATATATATATATTAATAATTTGACAATTAAGAACTAATATTTGAAATCTATATATTTTTATTTTAGGTGTGAAATATATATTGTTTTAAAAATAAAATCGCTGCAAAATCTATAAAAGTGTTTTACAGTCTACGAACTACGATGATTTTTCAATGAGTTTGAAATATATATTTTGAAACTTTACATCATATTTATATATAAGTATATTGTTTGAAAGCAATCACAAATGGAAAATGTTTATATTTAATTATTCATAAATACAATTGACTATCTTATTAGAATGACCTTCAAGAATAATAAATCCAAATGGCCTCCTGGCCCAACTGCAATTATTACATTTTACCAGATTGATTTCGATAAATCTCTGCTTATATCATTAAATATATAGATGTAATATACCATACAATTTATTTTATTATAATGTACAGATTTGCCATTCGATTGTTTATTTGGAAACACAAATTATACGAGTAGTAAAGAAAAATTTCAATACAAAGCAGTTTTATCTGTTGTCGAAAAATAATTAATTGATTAATCGGTTTCTATTGTTTTTACAGATAGATCGTAGATAGTACGGATTGATTACTCTTATAAGAACATATTATAGTGGTGGCATTCACAAAATTGCCGATTGATATTTCAAAATTGTATATTATATGAGAATTGTTTAATCATTTTGTTCCACATGAAATAATATTAAAAATATATGATCGTAACATCTTTGAATTTATTTTTGGAATTAATTTTTATTATTTTATAACAAATTAGTAGTAACTAATGAATGTATTAAAATATCTGAAATAGCATGTACTAATATATAAAAAGTATCTTAAAAATTTTTGAGAATTTTGAAAAGAAATCGCTCATTCTTCGTGTTGAGTAACCCTTTTAAGCAGTCCATTGGTTAAGGCAACCTGTAATTACAGAACCTATAATTTTTTTTCGTCAATAATAATTTGAAATATATGTTTGAAGGAATATTATTCACACGGGTTTAAATAAAACGTCTACTTAAAGTATATAAATACTGCGTAATAAGTGGTTAATAATTAGATGTTATAAAATTAATTTTATCAGTTTAATGGTTCTATATATGATAACTAGACTTAGGGATTTCTAGCATTAGCATACTTTTTTTAATTATTGTTAAATTTTGTAGAGTACGAAATAAATTCGTTTCTCAGTGCCATGATATCGGATTTAAAATTTGAATGTGCATATTTTTGCATATTTGATAGATTTTACAGGAGATTGCATATTTTAAAATTGTTATGTTTATTTTGCATATTTTGACAAATTTTTCTAATTTAAAATTAAAAATTATAAATGCATATGTATATATTTCAAACGATCGAAAAAAAATGTACTAAGAGGGCTTAATACTTCCAATAATATGCTATCTGCAAACTACCTCTCTTATCTCGTTATAATTTTTGTGTAAGTATAAATAATACAATAAACTCATATCAATCGTATAACCCGCTGGATATCTACTGAATATCGATAAAGATAATAGCCGATATAGAATAATAGATTATTTATTTAGTTTAGTCGATTATTATCCGTCGTTGTTTTTGCGTCTCGCAACCACGCAACGCCGAATCATACGTAAAACGTCGTATGGTTATATTTTGTAACATTGTGTTATTCCGAAAGTACAACAGTCTACAAGTAGCTGACTACAAAGTTTTGTTTCGAAGTTTAAAGATACATTTACATCCAATGGACACATTTTATTTTTTGTACTATGTGATAATTTTTTTTTTTTTTTTTTTAATGCATATAACTAAATGCATATTATAATGCATATTTTAATGATTTTAGAAGCATATTTGCATGCATATTTGTTTTTTTTTTTAAAAAAAGCTATAAGTCCCTAAGCTTAATGATAACATTCTCAAGCAAAACTTGTAATTTCAAATAGAATTAGTACCTTAAAGCTTTTCAAAAGATTGACACGTATGTATATATTATCCCTGTACGATGTAATTGAAGTATCCAAGAAATAATTCAGAAACAATAAATGCATTATTTTTAGTATTAAAAATAATTAAATAAGTTGATTACTTTAATATAATACACAAAGTTAGTTTTAATGATAAAACATAACTTATACTCATTTATACTACTGGCTTATAGTAAATACGATTTTTTAAAGCCATCTTCATGTTTCTCTTTATCCAAAACATATATAGACAATTCAATTATAAATATTTACCATGAATTGTTATCATAATTATATATATATTATAATCATAACTATAATTATTATTTAACCATCACCATTATCACATTTCTTAAAATTGAAATCAATACTTTTTCCGCAATACAGATAACTATACAAATATAAGCAATAATAAAAAAAACAATGTTTTCAACGGTTTTCATTTTACATAAAACCGTATTAACAAAAAAATCTATGATTTTATTTTTAAGTTTTAATTAAATATGTATTATACCGTAAAACTTATCGTAAATAACTAACTAAAAGTAAATATTAAATATATTAATAACATAATTCAGTAAATAATTTATTGAAATTTAAATAATATTTTAATAAATGTTTGATTTTTTTCGTAGCAAATATTTTTCAACTGACCAATAAATCATGTCCTGTGTTCGAATTGCCTTCAGTTTTCCCTCGGCAAAACTGTAACACTGACAGAGACTGTTGGCCCAGAATATGCTGTGCATATGGCGGACTTAAGGGTCAGAAATACTGTCGGATTCCTTTGCCAAGTTGGCGAAACGATTTACTAAAGACCATTACAAAAAGTAAGTACTTATACATATTTTCTATCATTGAAATATATTTTTAACAATGATTTTGCATTGATTATCCGATAGAACTTTGGATTATATGTTAAATGAAAATTCGAAACAAATTTGAATCTCCTCTAAATTTTTTTCTTAAATTACATACCTACATAAATAGATAAATAAAAATATCGATATATTTTAATAGGCATTTTTGATTAGTTTTAGTACCTACCAAACTTATATTTCCAACAGCTCAACCACAATAAATGAATAACAATCAAAACACATATACATATTTTTACGCATTGACATATCAAATACAAAATGTTAAGTTGTGTCAACTTCTTAAATTTCAAAATTAATTAATTCAATTTTATCTTATTCATTTTAAAATATATTATTTATGTAATATTTTATTGACAATATAAATTACACAATGGAAATTATACATAAAATCACTTGAACAAATTTTAAAAATAAAATTCAACATATTATACTACATATAGAACATTTTTAATACGTATAATAAATTTTCCTTTGAAAATTGATTTATAAATATACATTAATATTAAAAACAAATTAAACAAGCAATTAAAAACAACCCTATATTCTCTTCCAGTTATTAAAAATAATAAACTCCATTCAAGAATCTGGAACAAAAACAAATAATAATTATTTTTTAATTACTAAAATGCTTTTAACAATAATTTAAATAAAATCAGATTTAGTTTTTTAATAGAACCAGAATCTAACAGATATAATCCTCTGAAAAATAATTTTATATTTCTGAATTCTAATAATAACAATATAAATTACATTTTGAATAAAATAAAACAAACAGAAATTAATAAAAAATATTTGAAACTAGTTGAAATTGCTCCTCGTATTTCCCAGTTCTGTGTAACATCCATATAATAAATTAATTAGAATTTTAGACTTTTAGTCAAGCCTTTGATTCTAATTAAATTGCTGTATAAAATCTTAACTGAATTAATTTTTCAAATATTAAATCCAACTTGAATTAAATAATCCATCATTTCCATTTTCAAATTCTGATACAATGATTAATAAGAACCTACGAATATAATATATTTATTAAAATCACTGTATACACTCAAGACATTTTAGAAGAATTTATTTTATTTCTAATTAAAAACACTATTACTATGCATTATTGGAAATTACTGTTTATCAGTTGCAATTTTTAGATAATCCTTTTATAAACCCATACAATTTAGAATAATCGATACTTCGATACAAATTTAAAAAAATACATCCATTGTTGAAATTAAAATGATTTTATTTTATAATAAATGTATAATAAAAAGTAATCTAAAAGTTATTTCAGTTATTATATAGTTTATAACAAAAAGGTAGTATCGAGTATAGTTAATTTTATGCGCATTACTTGCATTTGCGTGTATTGATATTATGTGACACTCAATTTTAACTTTTAACTGAAATTAATAATGTATTACTTTTAGTTTTATAAATAAGAATATTAATTGAACCTAATGAATGTAAAAACTTCTCAAAAGTTATTTACATATTATGATTGTCATACAATACATTTACAAGTGAACATAGATTTATTTTATAAATTATATAAAAATAAAATATGAAGGATACTATAGTTAAAGGATAACGTACTAATATAAACTCGGTAAAAATTTAAAATCAAAATGAATTCTAAACATTGAATTATGTTTTAATGTATTGTATTGACACTTGTCTGCCACAACGTTAACATATATATAAATCACGCAGTTAAATTATTTTCAACCGGAACACTAGATTTATGTGTACAGATATGCGTATATGTATATACTATATATTATACTGAAACGTTAAAAAACAATTAAAAAAAAAAAAAAAAAACCATTGGACCAATGATCAATTTAAATACATACGGATTTTCAATCGTTCCAAACGACCGCGCATGTTCTCAAACCGTTTTCAACTACCCATAATAATAATAATAATAATAATATCCGAACGATATTTATTTGATGTTTTATTACTTACACTTCTAACGTTCGACCACCTGAAACATAAACATTTTCGATTTTCAATTTTTGGAATGGACCCTCCGAGTTGCGAAGTGAAAACGCATACAGATATATTGAAAAACGTGTATGGTTTAGAAAATAAAAAATAAAAATAAAAAACCTACCGTACGTCCATTTCGTTTATTGGTGAAAACAAAATGTTCGTGATCAAATAACTCCTTTCGACTTTGGAAAAAAACGTATTCATAGATATACAGTCGTAAGTTCGCATATTGCACGTTTCCGGTTTAAGGGCGGATGATAATATAAACCCATTGACGTGTATACTTATGGACATAGCGCCGACGAATTGTACCTATGCTACAAAGACCTTAATCTTGAGCTGTGTCCACGTACGAATGGTGTTCAAATGCGTACAGGATTGGTTAACGAGAAAACAATAATTACGGTTTACACGTTGCTGCTGTGTAAACCGTACAATTTTAATTTTTAATTCCACTCGCGCAATAGAATACATTAATTTATGACATCTGAATTCGTTTGAATATTGTAAAACGATCGTACAACTGAATTTGGGTACATGTATGTAACCAGACGCGCCTGCACAAGCCCGAGACTTTGCTGGTTGGACAACTCGAAACCACTCAAAACCAAGTAATTTACTGCAACGAAAACGCCTACCACGTATACTGCAGCATTCGTACACCCAGTAACGTAAATCGAGAAGTTCATGGAATGCTGTGACTGCATTAAGGTTCTAATCTATGTGGCCTTTATGCCTTTTCGGAACACTTTTGTTTTTTTATCGTTCGTTAGCAAAAATATGTATATGTTGAAAAGTTAAAAAAATAATAAATAGGTAATAAATTTTCCTTTTAGTATTATACAAGTACTATTTAAATAAACGACGACGTATATATTTAAAAATATGAAAAAAAATCAAAAACCTTGTAATGTAAAATGTTATCTATTTTATTCGTCAACAAACATACGAGTACATCACTATTGTGTATATACATTTTCTCTAGACAAATTATTTCAAAAAGTTCCATGTAAAAAATAATTTGTTCATTATTTTTTAATTTATAAAAAAGTTGTTATAACTATCACTTATTGTTTTAGTTGTTAATTTTTTTATTTTTTTTTTTTTTTTAATTATGAAAGGGTCTTTAAAAGTTAAATTTCGTTTGTTCAGCTAAAAAAATATTATATTACAAATGCTATAAAATAAATGAAATTGTTGTTCAATACAATCCTTATAGACCTCTGGGTGTGACATACGTGACCCTACCTGTATTTCCGCGAATATAGGTGCAAAAATTATAAAAAATTATAATACGTCATATTTAAATAACCTAAATTATAAATTTATAAAAAAAAAAAAACGGGTCTGAAAGGGTTAATAAAATTCGAAATATCAATGAAATACACCGTGATGGTACGGACGTCTGGTTCGCGTTTAAACCAAAAGAACTAGGGGTATATTTATACGACCGTATAAAACGTGTATGTCCAACGCACGCTATATAGCATGCCCAAACAACGTGTCAATATTCTCGTAACCGACGAGTACGGAAAACTATTTGTATCAGGTCCAGTTCAACAGTAGATTTCTGGGAGCCGATTAAAATGTAAAACTACCGACTATCTGATCTCGGGAACCGATTCGATTGCGACGCGCGCGCACCACACACGTCGTCGAACGCTAACGTGCACGTCATTTTCTTGTTATTTTCAGGCCTCCGGTCGAACCGGCCAGGATACCTACAGTGCAGCGCGCCGCCGCCCAAGCGGTACGACCTGTTCCCGCGGAAGTGCCGGTCCACCGTGGACTGCTTGCCGGACCTGTGCTGCCCGGAGAACGGCAAGAACGTGTGCCGGCCGCCCAAGGAATCGATAATGCCGCTCGTCGACCGACTGTCCGTTCGCACCGCCGCCGCATTCCGTTTGCCACCCCCGTCCAGGTCGCGGCGGCGGCGGCGGCGGCGTCCGTCTTAACCCTACACAAGTGGACACCCCGACAACACACGTTCCATTACACCTCTGAAGGCTCATCATCGTCACCCCTCTTCAATCCCTTTCTTCTCTATCATATCCATCCATCACACACACTCTCTCTCTTTTTCACTCTTTTTTTGTGTGTGGTTAACGATGATGACTTCACACGTCACCTACCACGTCCGTGTCGCAGAGTAAAAAAAAATAAAATAATTTATGTATTTGAGATTCGTAGGCAAACTGAACGCTGTATTGTTTTAATCGATTCAAGACCGTAGTGAATATTTTCAGCATTGCAATACAATTCAATAAACACCACATAATTGTAAGTACTGCAATGGATCCACGGACTCGTTGAATATTTCGTTAACTCATTCCTTTCGAGTAGAACGTGAACGAAATTCTCACGCGTAATGGATTTGCTCACTTTTCAGACTGTTCAAATCGCGTTTAAATTACTATTTTTGATCGATTTATTTTTATTTGAATAGGAAAATGCATGTAATCGTATAATATAATACATTTGTACAGCAATACACATTACGGCTAGATAACCAGATAGTCAAAAATATTTATTATTGTTTTCCGCCATTTTTCGTAATTGAAATATTATTAAAATAAATATGGCATCATCGACGACTGTAGAATGCGATTGTCTTTAAAAATTAAAAATAAATAATTTAGACGAACATCATACAAACACACAAATCCATATACTTTATGTAATTGTTTACAGTGAATTCGTACAGATTTACTATTTAAAATTCATTGTTTTCTGCAAAACGTATTTTACGGTCACATACTGGAAGTATACCTGTACAAGGTTTTCTCAGATGTAAGCAACATCATTCCAATGGTCAATTTTGGTCCTGTTGAAATATTTTTAATCGTAATATGTACCGAAACGATCATTATTATTATTATTATTATTTTTATGCGTTCGAAATCTAGTCAATTATAAATCGCTGATCGGGAACTACTACTCCCGCGAACGAAGTGACTATGTAAAAACGGTTAAAACCCTTATTCTTGTTTAATTTTATCGCATGCTGAGTACCTTGAATACATTTTATGTTTATAAATGGTATACCGTATGTCTAGGTACTATTATTGTTACTGTATTGTTGTACGTGTTTGCGTGTAATACGAAAACAGTAAATCGGTCCAAACGCGTCACGCTCGCCGTCCACTTGACTACTCGTTCAATAGGATTACTATCACGATAGACTTAAATCTACTATAATGAATTATTAGTTTTTCCTTTGGTGGAGAAGTCCTTCGTCGGAGATTTATGACATAATAACTATTTCCCTCCATCCTCTTGCGGCCGTCAATTCTCCCCTCCGTGTACACAATCACTCCGCACCGATTACGGGAATTCAAGTTAATATTATCCAAGATAATATTTTTACGTACGATCTATATTCCATGTTAACACTTTTATGACACGTTTTCTTCGGACGTTGCGTATGTACTGCATTTAATCCTCCGCCGCCGTTTTCCTGTTGCAAATTCCCTGACCACACTTCATATCCAATTAAAGATTTTATGAAAACCGAAACATTTTTAAAACCGACCGCCAAAACAGAACTATACAGCTGCGGCAACACAATGAAGAATAGAAAAGTCACTTTAGAATACCAAATGTAATCAAATTTGTGTGATTTTGAATTATATATAAGTATAAGTTTGTAAGGCTTATCGAATTTGATTGTTAGAAAAATAATTACTATTGTTGTTATTTAATTATTATTATTATTATTATTTTTATAAACAATAAATTATTATATTATTTATTAATATGCTCTTTGTTCTTTTATCAAAAAACGCAAGGTAAATAAGGTATAAACAATACCACTACATCGAAACCAATAATTCCTAACCGAAATCGTAGTTTTGGGTGACACAAAAACAGTATTCAACAATAAATACACCCATAAACCTATCCAGCAATAAAATAATTCCTCGTCTAACAGTGAAAAACCATTATTTAACACGCTTATTTCTATACATATTTTCAAACGATTGGAAGCTAATTACAAAAAATTATGAAAAATCAAAGTCAACCATAGAAGTGTCCGAAAACAAATTTTCAAAATCAAAAGAACTAAAAAGAGTACAAATTAAAATAGTTTGTCAATATTTCAAACTAATAACCATTGTTGAAAATTAATATTGTAAATTGTTATTGTAAACACATGGTAAAAAATGATAAACATTTTCTAATTATAAGTTTTTTTTTTATAATTCAGCCAAAACTATTGGTTTTTATTTTTTTATAAATATAGTAACTTTAGATTTACGTAACCGAAAATAATGTAATGAATTAGTTTTATATTATACCTACCTTTCCCCACTGTAAATGATAATTATAATACAAACTGTAATGTACCTATATAATTTCTCAATATAAGGATTCAATATTTTATATACAAGTACTTCCTCCATTAAAATAATTTCATTAAATTATTTTTTATTTAATATGAAATTTAAAATTGATAATGGTATTAAATCGATAACCCCATAATTATGACAAAATCAATTACGTAGAGTTGACATAATCTGCACATCATATTTGTACATGTTTATTAGAACAATTAGGTACATTCAATGCGTGCAATAAATAATAATAAACGAATAAAAATAAACTATAATATATATATAAATCATAGTAAACTAGTAATATTGATTATATATTACAACTTAAATGACCGCAAAATTTAAAAGCGAGACTGAACATTATTACATATAGTATGTTTGTAATTTTCTATTGTAACAAATATAATAATTTCTTATGTACAATTAAATACAATTAAAATAAAAAACAAACAAAATAAATTAATTCGATGATCAAAATAAAACTGTTTTCCAGTGAAGTATAATTTTTATATTAGTTGGATTTAATTGACAATCATTATTATTAAAACAATGACATTTGAATTATAATATAATATTTTAATAATTTCTACACGAGTAAAGTTTGGGCTTCAGTTCTCCACATACGGATTATTAAGGATTCCCTTAGTCTTTAACAAGAACAAAATAAAAAGTGAGGCCCCGAGTTATAAATCGGTTATCCTTATATACTAATATTTTATTAACTAATTAGCACAATCTATATTATTAGATTAATTGCGTGATGCGATTAATCTATTACAAAGGTTCTTTCAATTATTATACAGTCTACATATAATATTCATAATTAATACAATCTTTAACATTACATATATCACGTAATACTACAGTTGTAAAAAAAATTAAAATTATAAAAATGCATATAATAGCATATATTGATGTTTGTTGATTATTTTTGTACATTTTTAAAAGAATATAATGAAAATATTTAAAGGTTTTTAGAGAATATTAGCATTATTTTTAAGGTATTTTAAGAGTATAAATCTGGTCATTAATCATAACGAATGTAAATATCTAAACAAAACCCTAATTTTTTACTTACTGTTAATTATTTATTAATCCCAATTCATAGTAATACCACAGATTATAATAGGAAGTGAAACACAGCCAGACCCAAGGATCAATTGAATGAGCGGTAGAAACGTAGAAGAAATATTAGCTTCATGGATGGCTGATAATAGATCGAAAGATTAGCCAACGACATTAAAATGTGTGCGGTTCCAAAAAAATCGGATTAGTTATTGAATGATATAAAGTATACTGCAAGGGCAAAATTTATTTAAGAATCGATCCCTTACAATTAATGATAATTATTAATTCATGTGCATTAACATAATTACTTGGTTTAGTATGATGATAAATATTAGGTTTATCAGAATTTACCAACAGTCAAAGTCTAAGTTTACCAGTAAATGTAATACATCAATTACCAATTATCCTCTTTCACCATAATATAGATGTATATATTTGCAATACCTAACAAAATATGTACACTTACTCTATATCACTTGTTTACTATGTATACTATTACTTAAATACACTATTTGTGTAAATGATTAAAATACAATATTAATGTTTATACAAACCTATTAATCTAGAATGAGAAAATTAATTATAATTTAGTAGTCTTCCAAAGAATACCCTTTTGATTAACATAATATAATGAATATTATAAAATAAATTTAAAAACACATGCTAGTTATTGACAACTGCAGATTTTGAAAATAGTATCTGTATGGGAAATTCAAGAAATTTTAATTTACTTTTACTTTTAAGCTGATAATCCATCATTTGTGTTTTAATTAAATATGATGTTTAAATTTAATTACTCTGACAAAAAAATAATGTATCTATCTAATCAAGAATTTTCATAAAATCTATTTTTATTTTTTGTCAAAACAGAATCTAAAATATTTTTAAAAATTACCTACTTTTAATGTGGTATTAGTATTAATTATATAGTATTATATAGTATTAATTATAAGTTTTTATTTGACGAACAATAATATTTAAAGAGTATTTGCATAGATTGTGAAATTGTGTTCAAAATGAGTAATATTTGCTTTACCTATTTAATACTATTAATACTTCATTAATATTTTTCATTCAATTCAGATCCTTAAGTTTTTAAAATCAATACTAATGACTATGCTTTTCTTATGCGCACAGTTAATTAAAATTCCAATATGAAATCATTAGTTAACCATTAAATATGAATGATTTCATCAAATCAATATTGTTTATACTTAATAACATAATACATAGGAGAAACTTGATTATTGCAAAAATAATTTCAATGTTTAAAAAAATGATAAAAAGCACAATTATTTTATTATTGTATAATTAATAAATCAAAATATTATAACAAATATTATATTTCTTCTGTTTTTACTTTTTTTGGTTTTTTTGTTTTATTAGATATTCCTTTTGCTTGCTCTAGTTTTAATCTTCTTTCCCTTCTTTTAACATTTTTACTTTTTTTAATAGGTGTATTTGTATTGTCTTTGATGTTAACACTTTGCAATGAATTTTTGTTAGCTTTAGTTTTTTTTAGTTTCTTGGAGTCTATAATATATTTTTCTTCAATTTTTTCTTCTTCGTCTTCTTCTTCTATTTTTTTTACTTCTTTTTTATCTTCTTCTTCTTCAGCTTCTTCAAAATCTCGACAAACAAAAACCGCAATAAAAAATCCATTAGTGCAATCCACATTTGAAACAGCATTAAGACACATTTCTGAACAATCATAACCAGGAGCTCCTTTATTTGTCCAACCTTTTAACATTTTAGTGCAATTTAAAAGTTTAAATTTGCCATTAACTGATAATGCTTCATCAACAACAGCTTCATTTTCTTCTGGATTCGTAGAACAAGTAGAATAAACTAATCGTTTTAAATTAGGATAACTTTTTAATGCATGATTTAATAGCTGAGCATGGACATTAGCCAACTTTTTTAACCTTTTTTTAAAATGTTCATTCTTAAGTGTTGGATCATTTCTTACTCTATCAACAATGCCTAAAAAATTAATTATTAATAAATATAACACATTTTATTTTTATTGGTAAAATTATTTAAATTATTAAAAAATGTATAGTTCATGTACATAATTATGTTTCAAACTTTTTTATTTGTTTTATATTTATTAACATTTCTGATTTTAAGTTATTAAATAATAATTATAATACTTGATTTAATAATAAATTTAAAAATCTGACAGGATAATGTAATTTTACTGTATTTGATTTGAATGCAATGATTGCATTCAATAAAAAACAATTCTGAGCGGATAAAGGAATCTTTTTTTATTTAATTTTATTTGTTTCTATGATGATAAACAAAGCGTTTTAAGAGCAGCTTAAGAACGATTTATATAAATAGGTAATTTATATAACTATAATAATTATAGTTATAAATTATAATTATTATAATTTATAATTAGGAAATATCATAAAAATGAAAAAAAAAATATAAAATAAAAGAAAAAGCTCAAAAGTCACTTAAATGTTTTGAAAATTTTACCATGTCTAGGTAAAGATAATATATGTGAACAACCCAAATTTCAAGTTTTTACGAATGTTTTTAACCGAATTACAACAAAAAACTCCCAAAATTAAAATGTCTATAAATAGCTCAAAAATGTCTAAAATTTTCCAAACTTTAAACCATAAGGAACAAAATCTAACATACAACAAAAAAGATCTTTTGGCATTTTTCATTTGAAACAATATTTCTGGTAGGAAACGTCATCCGTAATTATTTAATATTATAAAATCATGAAATCATACGTTTTTCTCCTTTAACCGCTTTTATTTCGAGTACCGTTTCGAAAACAAAAAATGATCTCTCTAAAGTATCAGCTCAAGAACATTACCTTTCAGAAAAGATGCTACACTTGAAAATGTTGAGAAAGTTTAGAGGGAGAAAATATTTACAGAATAAAAAAGATAAAGAAATAAACATCATTGTAAAACCATTACATTCCTCGATCCGCTCAGTATCTAAAAATAAAATTAATGTAATATAGAGTTACAGTACTGTTTAATTATGGCCTAAAAATAAAAGTGAACAAGCATTTTAACAAAATTTAAAATACAAGTAATATTAAACCAATAATTGAACCCAATACAATTAGAATCTTACCAGAACCAGAACATGATGGATCTACTAATATATATTTGACATCATCGTAATAAGGAAAAGTTAATGCATCCATATTAAATGTTTCCACATTCTTTACACCATATTTCTCCAAAATATTTTGCAATACATTAAATCTTTCCTTGCAACGATCAACAGCATAAAGTTTGCTGTAGAAAATGATGGTAATTAAAAAAACAAATTTAAAGCAGAGTGAAATAAAATAAATTGAATACCCTTTGTTTTGCATTAACGCTGCTAAATGTGATGTTTTCATACCAGGAGCAGCACACATATCTAAGACGGTACTATCTGGTTCTGGATTTAGTAAATGAGCAGCCAAACAACTTGCCTATAAAACAAAATATCTTATTACAAACAAATAATTATAAATCAAATTAAATTTATAAAAATTTTAAAAAGGAATAGAGTTCCAATCAACAGTAAAAATATAGATAATTCATAATCAATATCACATATTTGTGTAATATGAATATGATAATACCTAGTAGTTCACTACACTTATAATTTATAGATTTATTTTATTTTATATAATAACAAATTAACTATGAAATACACATTAACCTTATCTTGAACAATTAATAATCCATTATTGTAGTCTTCTAGATTATAAAATTTCACTTTTGAATTAAATACTAACAAATCTTTGATGTGTATATCAATAACAAAACAATTCCCTTTGAATTTGTCAGATTTAATTAGTTCTAAAAACTCAGCATAAGTTTTTGGCGTCTTAAATTTTTTAAATTTTAGGTCAGACAATTTTTTCAAAACATCTTCTAATGTTGTTAATAATGTGTTCACACGGAAAAATCGAGGCTTCCAAACTGTAAAAAATAAATATGTTTATGATTTACAATGCTTCTTTAGATATGATGATACAAAATATTTGATGTACAAAATCATATTTTATCAACTTTTAGATATTAACAATACCATATATATATATATACATATAAATATATAAGAGATCACAAGGAAAATAGTTGGAGAAGTATCTCACCTGTCAAATACTGATAAAAGTACTTCATTCTTTGTGAAGAAATCAAATATTTAAATATATATTTAACTGTTTTTAACTAAATAAATGATCAATTTTTAATTATAAAATATAAAATGTACAATAATTTGTATTAAAACAAAATACCTTTTGGTGGTAAGGAAGTAGTTAAGTTTTTCAAATCATTTTCTTCCATAAGTTTCAAAAATTCAGATTTATACTTTTTTACTGCCATAATATTCTTAGCACTCCCTTTTAAACCAAATTTAGACCACATCAGTTCAGTGATTAGTACATAAGCTAATTCACGGTCCATATTATTTTCTTTTTCTAGAATATTACTTTTTTCAATCAAAACATCTATTACTTTTTCCCATTTGAAAACATTCATTAGTACAGCATTCAGTAATAATTTATTCTAAAAAAAAAAGTTTTATTGTTCAACAAAATAAAATATTAAGAACATTTATTATATATTTGATACTAGTAAAAAATAATTGTCAAAAATTGTAAAAATATCAACTACATCTAAATATCATATTATAAAAGAAATTAAAATATTGAAAATTCCACCACCAAGTGAAATAACTCCAAGAATAAAAGAATATTCTACCTTATACAAGATATATTATACTAAACACCAATATATTTAAAATACAAATAAAATTATTTAAAGTCCTTGAAAAACTACGAATTTCACAATATGTTTTAACAAAAATTATCCAGATGCTGGATAATTGGATATAATTTGTGTACATTATAGACAAAATAGCAAAAAAGTTAACAACACATTTACAAAGATATCAAACACCCATAAGAGTAAGTTAACTCTGTGAGGAACCATAAAGAATGTGCACAAACTAAGACAACTGGGGAGTAGAAATGTTTGACCACACATAAGGTAACTAGAGATGTTCGACCAGACAACTGTACTTATCTGTAATCAACTGAAATAATTTAAATCAGCTACAGTTAAGCAGATAGACATACACTTTTATCATAACTTGGAATTATTTTTTGTATAAAATAGTCTTAAGTTGACTACAAATTCATAGAGTTCAACAAACACTGTAAGATTGATACAAGCATCACCAAAGTATGTTATACTACAATACTACAAATCTGCAAGTAACAATATTATGTTTTTTATCCAACTTGTTTAATATTTTTCATATTAATAAATAGCAATAACATTCATACAGGGTACTGTGCTTGATAAAGTTGAGACTTATAGTTGCTTCCACTTTTGACTTTTTTTACTATTTTAGCAGCAATTTTATATAACCCTGTAGTTTTATCATGGTCTTTATTCGCCGGTTTAATAGATTGCTTATTAACCATCTGTGGACAAAGTTACATAAATAGTTTTAATGAAAAATGCAAATTATCTTTCGAATTCCATAAATTTCACTCACGAATATTAGATAGGAAGGTACTTACTGTAACAAATGTAACAAATTCAGATGTCTGTATGAACACTACACTATTAAAATAATTAAATGAAAACAAATTACGAGCAAAATCTTTTCTTTATAAAAACGTTGAAATTATTTGAAATCTCGTAGAATTGCGTCCACAAAAATATTAATTGTAAACGACTAGACGAGCAGCATACACAATTCATAACCAAACATTCGCTCACATGTTTTACTTGTTACTATTGCGATAATATCCAAATGATAACCACAAACTTAATAAACGTTAAATCGTGATAATACAATTTAATTGATAGTAAAAGTGTAAAATTAATAATAATTCTTAAGCAAATGGTTCTCAAAATAAATGAATTTTCGGACTTATCCCATTGGAACAGTAATTACTTCGATTAAGTTATTACAAGTTATTGCATTATTATTAACAACTAATTTCGTTACTGATTCTTTTATATTATTGTCGGTGTCTGTCACGTAATCTTTTCAAATATTTTTCGCTTGAAGACGTTGTTTTTTTGTTGAACAGATCCATCAGGTATATGATTGCAGTATGCTCTGATTAATTGATGTGCTTAGTTTAATTTTAAAAGGTACAGTCTGTGAGGTATGCGATATGTAGTCAGTATTTGTTTTTACGAAAATCGTATAATCTGATGTGCAAGACGCGACAGTTTGTGAAGTGCCTAATCTTAGTCACTGCTGCCGATGACACTACTTCTACAAAAACACTATACCCACGTTATCACGACGGCACCATGTCAAAGTAGTTTAAAGTCAAATAGTTTTTCACCATCACAAGATGAGATCTTAGTCAAATCTTGAAACAAAATTATGAAATGAGCATACAAACTATTCTCATTGTCATCATTATCATCATCCATCAATAATAATGTTTAAAAGGTTATTATTAAAAATTAATTAGTGCATACACGCTTGAAAAAAATTTAAACTGAAAAACTTCTATTTGAGATGACTGCCCAAAAATAAAAATATATATAATAATATATCACATCTTGTAAACCACACTTAACTAAAAACTTAACTAAAATGGTAGCACCTTGCAGACCCTTCTTCAACAAAGAATAATTTGTTTATTATCTCCAAAGTCAGGTTGAATATTTTCATAAATTGTATATAGTCAAAAATATGATAGGTATCATACCTTTTGGCTTTTATACATTAAAATAATTTCCAATCGTTAAGGATATTTCATCTCATTTAATTGTTTTTTTTTTTTTTTATTTTAATCTATCTTAATAAAACTGTTCTAATTTGATAAAAACCTTAAGGAATTATATTTTTAAAAACTAGTAAAAAAAATAATTAAAATAGACATGCTGGAAGATGGCATCACTATAAAAATCTATATGTTAATTAATTATTTTTTAACTATTTAAATGTTAAACAAAGTTAAAGGATCATTATATTTTTTATTGAATTTAAATTGATACAAAAAAACTAGGCATTCATTATAGAAATCAATTTATCTAAAACATACACAATATAATCACCACTAGCCATTTTGTAAATCATTTCTTAAAGGAAAAAGTTTTACATTATTTATAACCATGCTTAAAAAAGTCATATAATTAATTTCATTTTAATTAAGTGGGTATATAGGAATTATAAGGAATAATAAGTTTTTTTTTTTTGTATAAATATTACAAAACCTATTACTTTTTAGTTTTTTCCACCAGTTAAAATTAAATTAACTAATTTGTCATAAAATTAAAATTAAAATAAACTATAAGTGATTTCATAATAAAATGTTGAAAAAATTTAAATAGTTATTCAAACTTAAAAAAATAAATAAACAAAACTGAAAAAAATTAATACCTTTGCTTTATAATTATTTCACTACTATGTTAACTTAACCCTTTGAGTGTCAAATTAATTTTGGCCAGGAGCACCTCCAGGACCAAGTATTTTATTATTTTATTATTCTTATAAATTACATAATTATAGTAACTAAAAAAAAAAAAAAATATTTGGATCAATTTTTCCAAAGAGATTGTCCTAGAATAATACAGCCATTGGCTCTCAAAATGTAAGAAACGAATGAGATAACTAGCGGTTTGAATAATAATAATTATTTTTCAAATTTTGATTCTTCTAACACAACTTTTATTTTTTATTCAATTCAAAATAATTATAATAAAAATATTAAAACATTAATATAACTTATAAGTAATTTAGACAGAATAATAAAACATTAATTTTTTTATATATACACATATAATTTTAAATTCTTAAAGTATTTAATTAGACAAAACTATATTTTGATCTTAACACTTTATACAATTATTCATTTCTAGAACAAATCTGTTACCATAAAATTGGTTCTTGTCTGATATATGAAAAAACATGGTATAACACACAGGCCCACATTGCATTCGTCACACACGTACATGGTATCCTTCCGTTTATTGTTTCTGGTACAAACTATACATTTTCTTTTTTGTTCTTTTCCTAATGCTAATTTTTTCACATCTGATGAAAAATGCCGAGCTGTCTAAATAGTTGATCTTTACACATAGTCTTCCTATAGGGCTTATTGTATAAGGTACTGCCATATTTTTCAAATGACTTCAAGTTATAACTTTGCAAGTGGCATATTCTATCCGGTGACTGTTTTGAACGCAGAGAATTCATTTAAGAGACAAACATATACATAACATAACGACTATGTAACGCAATGCGATTGTGATTGCGATATGATAAAAAAAAGATATTTAGAAAAAAAAAATTTTGTTAGACCATGGAAAAATGAATACATTAATTCACTGTTAACTTCTTTGGTATTATTCCGATATGTTTTCTGTAAATGTCCTTGGGTACATCTTTAAATTTATGATATACTGTTATCAGTATAGTGTTAATAATAGATGTTGTTAAATTTAAAAGAGCAAAGACGCGTTCTATGTGGCACAGGAAGAACCCTTACTATATACTATACGCATATATTACATACTAAAAATAATGAATAATATGTTACATTATTGTCCAATACTGAAATACATTCCATATATGTATATATAAATTCTTTTTTTTCTTTTATTCTTTTTTAACAACTGCCTTATATACCTCTCTTATTGAGAAAAAACTGTTAAAAGAACTCTTGAGTACTAAGTCAAGGGCAACAAATCAGTTATGAAACAAAATGCTTTGGTTGTACCACACTTGAGATGTATAAATCATTAAAATAAAAAGGAAACACTTTTCAAGAAAAAAATAAAAACCTAAGCATAATTTTAAATAATCAGATTAGGACATTTTTTTTAAATAATTTATCATTTACGATAGTAAAAAAAAACAATTTATTTAAAAAAGTGAAAATTACATAATAAAAACAAATAATAACAGAGCAATTTGCTTGTTTAATAAAACAAAAAAAAATAATTAAATGTGCAAGCTTAACATTATAGTAATTAGTGAATACATGAAATTAAGTTAATAATGTTAAGCTTTGTCAATGAATATTACAATTCATTATGTGTTTCAGGACTATAACCGTATTTTTGGTTTTGTACATGTTTAGCACCTTCTTTCACTAAATCTAAGAATTCACTTTTATCGAATGAATAATTAGTAAACTTGGCATGTGCACCCTGGTCTGGATGATTTCCCTAAAAAAAATAAACAATATAATTAATATTATTATGCATAACATTTATTTTAAATTTTATGTTTTTATATAAAAAAAATAAATGAGTTAACACTAAGAAAAATAGTTTAAACTCATTGTTAAGATATTTAATCACTTTTTAATTAAAATAAAAATGTTAATTTTACAACACTGATATGCTCTAAAATAGTTTTAGTTAATTCTTCAAAAATTAATTAATTAAATGAGTTATAAACAATTTAATTTGTTGAAAATTTTATTTTATTCACATTCAAATATTTACCAAACTTTGAAATTCAAAAAACCTTTATACTTTCTAAACAATATATGCACTTGATTAAAATTAAAAGCAAGGTTGGATTGGTATTTAGTGTTGTTTAATTCATTGTATCACTTCATAAATGAAAATGTAAATAGTAACCTAATAACTAGCATTACAAAAAAGATAAAATTATTAAGTTAGTCAAGTGTTTTAAGATATAATAATTATACATTTTACAGTTTAATCACTCGATAATAATATATACCCATAATATATCCTCAGGGGGGCCTCAATCTCCGTTGCTGTTTGCTATCTTTATAATGGATTTAAGTAATTGCTTTAAATTTTGTTAATATCTACTGTTTACTGACAATCTAAAAATTTGCCAATATTTCTTTATTTGATGACTAGTTTAATTCAAAATTATCTAAACAAAGTTAGTGATTGGTACCTTGCTAATGGTCTTAAGTTAAATTCAGCCAAATTTTTTTTAATATGTCTAAACGTGTATAAGAGAAAATTTCCTGGTCATGTAAATTTTATCTGTTTTATAAATCTCTATCATCAATCCAATCCAGTATTAATTTAGAATCACTAGCTACTAGATGTAAATCCATAGATATTTGTTATAAGTCCATATTAATAAATAGCATTATATCCTGTCCGGATTTATTGCATTCATTAAATTTTGATGTTTCCCAATATAATTTGAGGCACTGTCATTCATTTTCAATACTATTTCATCGTATTTCATATGGGTATAATAATTCCTTAAATCATATTGCTCGAGAATATGTTGTAATTATCTTTTCCATAGGCAATGCTGTTGATTTTAATTAAATTTAATTGTAATTTATCTTCATTATTTAAAATTGTGCTTATTATATTATATTTATAGAATCTTGTATTATTAATTTTATCATATTACTGAACTGTACTTGAGCCTTAAAGGCGTTATATCAATAAAATAAAAAATAAAATACACATTTTTTTTCTTAGCTATACGAGTATAAAGTCAGCTCAATGCTTACTTTATCTTCCATTTTTAATTTATTCATATCTCGCCAAGTTATATATTTGACACCTCTCAGACGAGCCAAGTCCTTGTAACAATGTTCATCTTCACAATTATATCTGTAAATTAAATTATTTTTACTAAAAATTAAACCAATTTTGTAAAATCATTGTTAACTTAAAATCATGGTCATTAATATTTTAATTCAAAATATATATTTTTATATCAATAAATAACATCAAACATACAATTCAAATAATACTGCCCAATCTGGTAAAAATAGAAGATGTGTCAATCCTGCACCGTGCATTCCAATAAAAATATCCGTATTATAAGTTATTCGAATTTGCTCCTTGAATGTTAAGTATTTACTACTATAAATTACCTATAAAAAAATAATTTATAATTTATCTTCTACAGAATTACACCAGTATAAGCAAATATACCTTTTTTACTTCATAATTAGGTTCATTACTTAAAGCAGCTATTAATTCATTTTCATTCAATACATTTCTATATTTTGTGTTTCTAGACAAAAATGTTATCCTAATTTTTTTATTGATATCTGGTGTTTGATGAATGTTTAAACGATATAATACATGCTGAGAAAATGCTTTAAACAATCCACTTTTCTCACATCCATCAATCTAAAAAATAACAAATATAATATACTTTTTCACATAACATCTATAAACAAAATGCATTCTTGTTTATTTTAAAAATTTTAACTATAAAAATATATTCTTTAAATGAAAAAAAATATCTCTAATATATTAAATATCATAATAAAACCATCACTCTTTAGCTTACCTAACAATTAGGTATGAATTATGACTACTTAAACGAATCAAAAAATAATAAATTAATACATTTTAATATTAGATAAAATGAATAACCACAAATATATTTTTAAAGCTATTATTACAGATAAAAAAACATTAAGAAATTAGCTTATAGTTACCAAAGGAGTATTGTAATATAATCCAAATATCATACGTGGTAGCAATGGTAAAACAATATTATTAAAACAAACAACTTGTCCTCTAAAAGTGTTTAAATTCCATACTGGATAAATTGTAAATGCTTCAAAAGTTTCACTAAATGCAGATTCATAAGCTAATGACTCCCAAATTAATACATGTATATCTTTGGAAAACATGTTGGATCCTGAGTTATTCATATGCTGAGATGCATACAAATTCAAAAAATCACAAAAATGATGGTACATGTTGACAGCTAATAAAATAAAATTAAGAAACACATTGTTAAACATGTCCTAATAAATAAGTTAAAAACAAAAAATCAAATTTTATAAAACACTTACTTGCATCTATTTTCATAATAACAGTTGGTTCAGTTATAATAAGATCACATTTTCCAGGATAATGATTTATTGGAATGAAAAATCTTAGTTCTGGACTCCACGATTGTAATGGGCTTAGATGATCACACTGAGCATCCAATTTTTCTTTATGAAACCTATATTATGCATTACCAGAGATTTTAATATTTTCTTCTTTGTTCTTACACTTTATTTTATTTATTTTAATAATTCCAGTAAAAGTAAACATACAAATTATTTGTGTTCAAAGATATAAATAATTATATGTTAACATATTGTACAAACATTTATCTGTAATAAATTCCATTAAACTTACTTGCACTTTCCACCAATTTGCCCTTCATTTAGTACATCCATTTGATATCGAACTGGACGATTTTTATTCAATGTATTTGTGAAATTAATCATGATATTACGACCACGACAAAACTTTAAATGATTTGTGCATTCTAATGATGAATCATCCTACAAGAATAAATGGAATTTTATTATTATTATAGTGTAGTCGCTACTTATTTTAACTGTAGAAATCAAAGTACAAATATACAATATCAATTTAAGTTTTTGAATTATTTCTTAGTCATTTTGAAATAAGAATTTAAAAAAATTATTTTTTAAATATTATTTTGAAAAGAATATTATAAAATATTTAACAATGAACAATTGAATAATTAGTGAAAATAATGTGCTATGTAACATTTTTTAATTTATTATAAAAATTTATTAAAAATTTCATAAATTAAAATATGATAAAATGTTATTAAACAATTTAAAATGTGCATTTCAAATCATTATAAGAAAATATAACTATTATTATAATAACACGTTACATAGCACATTATTTCCACCGACTCTTCAATTAATTATTTAATTAGTCTACAGAAATCATGTTTTAGTGAAATTGTTTGTAATTGTTTCAAGACTTAACCTATAGGTAATAAATACAACAGTTAGCTTGATTAAAAAAAATCTATTATTACATACCAATACCATTTGTACAAAATTCAGAAACTCAAAAAAGTAAAAAATATTTTAGAAAAACAATAATATTAAATTCAATTATTTCCATTCCAAAGTTTCTAAGTTTTCCAAAATATGTTAATACACAGATTTATAACACATAGAGTCTTAAACATTTTAAAACCATGATAAACATTACTTGATCTGTTGGCTCACACATGTATGTGATTTCTTCTCGCTGCTGTCTTACATAGCCAAAATCCCCTTGATCGTAGAAAATGCCTATCTGGGCTTGTTTGGAAGGTGCCCAGCCATTGTCTGGACCCGGACACACAGGATCCGAGTAGCGGTGTTGTGTGTCACAGTTACTCTCATAGCCCCAGCAGTGCTAGCAAATCAAACAGGCCCCAGTTGAACGACAATGACGACTGATCGAGCGTTACGCCAGACTACGGCTGTGGTGTACTTACGGTCGAGTTGCGGTCTTCGGAGAACAGTATGTAGGGCAAGTGTTCCGGGTGGACGTCCAAATCGACCGATGCCGCGGTCGGTCGGACAGCGCTGTTCCACAGAACGACACAGCACGAAATGGCTATGATCTTCAGGTACAACATGGCTGCGCATTGGATGACAGCCGAACAGTTAGTTATACGTCGTGCGGCCACGGTGGCGTCGGTGTCATCGTCGGTCGTCACGGTTGGATTCAACGGTCCGCGTAGTGACTTTACAAACGTTAGTCACGCCGTTGTAGGCGGTGCTCCAATGCCATGTCGTTGGCGGGCATCGGCGCGACGCGGAAATCGGTCAATGCGCGCGCTAAACCGTATAATCCGCGGATTACGGTGCGACGGGCGCCTACTACAGCTACTGCAACATCTGAAATATTAGCGTATCGCGTATTGATGATATGAATATTAATAATATTTACGTTTCACGGACGGGCCATGTTTACAATGGTTCAAACGGTGGAGGTGTCAGCTGACGGTTTGATTTCTAGGAGGGGTTCTCAAAATTATTGCATATAACCGTATAGGTACGCTGCGAGTAATAAATTGTAGGCGGATGTGTTTGTGATTTTAAATTATTCATATGGTAAATTTGTATTATTGTTGTTTTCATTATTTCCATTGTAACTGAAGGTTTATTATTATTATGTCCAGATGACTATGTTATAATGTATACTCTGTGCGATTTATCCCGTCCACGCGCGTGCGTGACGCGAATAGAATATTGTACATAAAAAAATAAATAAAAACGAAGAACCATTAACGACATCGATTACTCCTTAACTTGCTAACTAATATTATTTTGATGGACAATTTCCATTTGGATAATTTCAAATCTTTTACCGAGTCTTTGAGTTAATATTTTACATCTATCTTAGGTTCGCCACTTGCCATACGTCCCGGATTTGTCGGGATATTTCTGATTTTGTGACTTGGGTCCCGGAATGAATAAACGTCCCAGAACAAAGTTTGTAGCAGATTTTAATTTGTGATAAACGAAAAAGGGTCTTATATATTTTTTCTTAATTCTAAATTTCTATATCGTAAACAATAACACACTTTATAGAGTGTACTTATACTTATCGTTCTTAATCCATGTGAGGAAAAAAAAAGTTTTATTTCAATATTAATGCTTTCAAAATCTGACAACCTTAAACTACCATCATTTGGAATCGTTTCTTCACTTAATATCAGCATACTTCACAAGTTTTTTTTTTTTTTAATTTAAGTACATAATACTTAAGCACACAACTAAAAAATGTCATATTTTAGTCAGTGGTATATTGATAAGTATATTTATGGTATATGCACTAAAACAATATAGATAGCAATCCTAAAACAAATGTTTTCATCTCACTTGACAATTTTTTTTTTTTTGCTACGTTCGTATAAATAAATAAAATTAATCCCTTACATATTGACAACTTCTGAGGCTAAAAAATACAACACCACAAAATATACATTTTCTGCTTGTTATTAATTGCATGATACAGATCTAAGAACCATGGGCTGAATGTCCATACTTCATATTAAATTTAATAACATCTATTTTTCAAAATGTTATTTACTAAATTGAATTTAAAATACATTAAGCACAGCGTACACTGTAGTCTTCAACAAATAATAATTTCATAACAATTTTTTTCCAATGAACTGTTAAATGATTTTTTTTTTTAGTTTTTGAGTTGTTATAGAAGCGTACATCCGTAAAATAATATTTTACATTAGATATATGAACGAAAATTAAAAATCTGCTGACGGGTATACGATGTATACCCGCATATTAATGCTCTGCATGGTCCGGTCTAGTACGGTCCTGACATACAAAAACTTTTGAATCGTCGGTTTGGTCCGATTCGATAATTTTTAGGAGTAGTTCGATCCAGTCCTCAGATCAAATGCATTATTTTCAATCTGGCCCGGATTCAAAAAAAAAAAATCAGTCCGGTCCTAATCATGGTACTTAAAATCTTATTACAGATATTGTTATGTAAACAAATAAAACGAAAAAAAACTACAACTTTAGGAATATATATTTATTTATAAAGTCGGGTAGTCCAGTCCAGTGAATACTAAACGCATCATATGGTACGGTCTGGTCTAATACAGACTGAACCTTACAAATCGATCCAAAATGTTTTAAGATCGAACCGACAGTTCGGTCCACAGTCTACTTTATTAAATATTATTTAATTACCGGTCCGGTCCGATCTAAAAATTATATAAAGTCATCGGTTCGATTCAATTTTGGTCTTTGATTAACGTCTAAGTGTGGTCCGGTCCGACTTCGGTCCCCTGGTAAAATTTGAAGTCCGGTCTGGTCCTTTAAATAACGGACCGTGCAGAGTATTACCGCATATACGTATCCCTGCTTTTAGTGGAACCATGATTTGAAAAACAAATTTGTTTTTTAACCTTGTAATAACATGATGCTAATAATAGGATAAATTCGACATGTATTTATTGACTCACGACTTGGTCGGTTGAACCAATTAACAAATTGGTCGTTTTTTTAACTAATAAATAATAAACGAACTAAAGGCGAGTTTACACGGGTCGATCGCGGTCGAACGACTGTTGCCGTGCAGCGAAATCAAAAACAAATTGAACGTGTAAAAAACTTATTTTCGACTTAGTCGCACAGCTAAATGATTCGATTAAAATCGAAAAGTAGTCTATTTTTGGTCGATTTGATCAATCATTGTAGCATGGCTAAAATCGATCATGTAAAAAACTAGGCGATCAAGTTGTACTCATTGGTACTTAAAATAATAATAAACTAATTTCGAATCTTCAACAAATATGTATTTTAAAAGATTTGTTGATGCATCTAAAGTGTTTCTTTTTAAAATCCATTTCCGAGTTCATAAACGACTTTTTTTTATTAATTTTTACAACTTTTCACATGATACATCACAAATTAATAAAACACCAACACTTATCGGAAAAGACATTTTTGTCTACACTTTTCAGTTTCAACTAACATGTAGCCAAGAAACAGTTGAACATGTAAACATCATCCTGTTTCGATCAGTGGTGCCGAACCTCTTTAACAAGTGTTGTTAAAACAATAGCTTAAATGGGGTGGGTAATCCTAAGGGCTTAGCCCCAAATAGTCATTAGGACCTTGAGGCTGCTCATATAACGTAGATAGTATCATACAGTAATATTATAATTGTACAATTATAACCTTCACATTTTTAACAACAGATTAGTTTTACAATGTAACTATTGTAACCTATTATTTATTTATAATTACAGTGACAAGTGACATTATTGATGGGTGGTACTTTCTGAAAATAAATTTGACTATAGTGCTTTTTTTAGAGCTCGGCGCCACTGGTTTCGATTGGGTTTCGACGCGTCGTCGTGCGGCGAAGTCGTTCGATCACGATCAACCCGTGTAAACGCGGCTTAACGAATATTAATCAACAAATGATTATTCAAAATTAAACAACTAATGTGTAACTAATAATAATACTATTACGGACTATTAACAACTATCTATACATTAATAAACAGTTTCCTTGTCACCAGATTATTCATAAAAAAATAAACGGGATAATCTAGCTTCAGTATTGTTTCAAACATGTTGTTTTAATTTGTTCATTATACGACAATACTGTTAGTTAATAATTCAGTGTGCCGTGTAGGTTATCAGTGCCACAGTTAGCACCAGGGCAAGCAGGTCAAAGACCTGTCAAAGGGACTAAATAATTGTTTCGAGGGGCACATTTTTATATTTGATTAAATAGTAAACAGAAATTTTGTAAATTTAAAACATTTTAAATATAAATTAGTTGATAAATGATAATTACGAATATTACTCCATTATTGTATTTACATAATTAATAACTAGTTTGAAAAATGTGTTAACAGAAATTTAAGATAAAACAGAAAAAAAGAAATAGAAAATTTGGTAGCAGATTACTTATTTCAGATTGTTATCTTAAATCGTGGTAGGTAATTGCATTGTGTTATTTGAAAAATAATATATAGGTACCATGTTATAAAATACTAATAATATTATGTATCTCAATTACTTAAACAACGAAAACGCAAGATAAAAAAAAATGCCAAAAGAACTGTTGAATAATAAAGTTACAGATAATGATCCTACTATAAAGCTGTACAGAATACAAGCTTTTTGTATAATAATTGATAAATTATCAATGGCTATTGAAGATCGAATTTTTAAAAAGACGAATATTTTATAAACATTAATATTTTTTGACCACAATAGATTTATACATATAAAAAAACAAAATATTGACTTTTGATAGTGGAAATTATATAATTTTTAAAAAATGTTGTAGTACTAATGGACTGCAACCCAATATTATTCAAGAAGAATTGATTAACTTTTCATCTGCTTATGAGTCTATAACAGTCATTGGAAAGAGAATGAACATGGGGGTCAGAGCTATCAGACGAATCTGAAGTTTCTGATGAAGATATTGATAAATAACCAAACGTGGAGTCTGAATAATCTACAAAAAAGTTAAGTACAAATTCAATTTGTAAAAATGCAATACTATGAGTTATGGGAATACAAGTACAATTTCTATACATCTAGGTACATTTACTAATTTATACTTGGTATACAAGTATATTTTATAATTTTCATTTACTCAAGTACATTGTGAATGGTCATTTTCAAAATTAAAAATTATTAAAACAAGACTGAGGTCATCAACTAGTATAAGCCAAGAGCCTATTAGGTAATCAATATTGGAAGTGACAAAATTCCTGATATAGAAGAAATTATATCCTGTCATGCAAATTCCTCTTCAGAATTATACAAATTGTTCTTGTACTAACTATATTTATTATTTAACGTTTATCTATATTTAATTAATTTTATTTTAACTAGTATATATGGATATAAAACATTTACTTATCATTGCTTACAGACATATTTGTTTCACAACAACCACAAATTTACAAGTCTGTGCAATAATGAGTTAATAAGTTAAAAGTTCCCAATTATGTTAATTTTGATTTTCAAGACCAGAAAAATATTTTTGTAAAATACCGCATTTGATAACAAGTTCATGGAATTTGGAAAAATATAAAAATAAAAATTTTGAAGAATTTTTAGATGAGACCATACTATTTATCTCGGTATTAACTATTAATTGGGGTCCCCCCGATCCCAGGAAAAGTACTCAACCGTCTTCAGACTGCTGAGTAAAAATAGTCGTGCCACACATGAATTACCTTACCATTGTCATGAAAAGTGGCCGTAAATCTATATTATAAAAATAGGTACATATTATCATTGACTAAATAATTCTTAATAATTATTTTATCTACTCTATTATTATTAGAATTATTTTGTAATCTATGATATTATTAAATATTATTGAATAAGAGAAGAAATGTAATAGCTGGTAAACATTTTGAGGTGACTCTTTTATTGAGATTCAATAGATATTTTGATTAACCTATCCATTTTATTATTTTATTTGTTTAGATTTTAATAACATTAAATACCTAATATTATATCGATAGTGTAGCGCACAAGTGTGATAAGTGACATTTTTTTTTGAAAAATGAGTTAAATGCATATTCAATTTAATCATAAAATTCAGCACATTATGCATAAACGAAATTACAATATTATTTAAGTAATTAATGTTCTTAATTGAAATTAGAAGAAAAATGTGATGTGTTTAAGTATTACTTTTTACGTGTACAAAATGTATTAGGTACCTACAATATTTTTTTAAAAATACAAATGTGGTAATTGCAGGTTTTTTAATCCTCATTGCTCATTATATGTTAAGGAAAATATAACAAAAAGTTCATTAGGTACAGTTTGTTACATTTTTGAATTGTTATAACAGCTCAAACTAAAAAATCGTTCTCCTGAACAATTACGAAAATGTCACTTACCATACTTGTGTGCTATGCCATCAATATATTTATTTTAATGTTTTGGATCAACTGTATACATTTATTGCCTGTATAATTTTATAGTTACATTTTCAGCTGCAGTTATTATTTTTAGTTTTCTTAATGTTATTGAACATTAAAAAAATACTTTTTTAAATTATATTTATCATAAATTACCATAAATTTGACATTCGAGTACTTAAAAACAATTTCAATAAAAAAATCTATATTTTTCTATTCTAATTAGTGTATAATAAGATTTTTCTGCGTTTTCATTAGGTATCGTTAATGTTAAATAAGATCTGTTGTAAATTGTTAATATATATATATATGTACTCGTATATATATCAGCGCTTAATTTAAAAAATTTTTTATTTTTTGTAATTAGCTTAACTTATTAATTGAAGTTCAGCTAACGATATTCTCTAACTTAATTTTTAACTTAATTGATGTAATTCTCATGTACATTAACATTAACTTGCCTAGCCTTGCAAATTTGTATAGTATAGTTCATTAATTTTATACAAGATTTTAAGTAAGAAATGTTGATTTATTTAACAATGTGGAAGAAAACAATGAAAAAACATAGCTTAGCCACACTAATTAATATTAATAAAATACTAACTAGGTCCTTACATATTATAATATGTAAGGATCTAGTATTTAGACTTCATGCAACAGTTCAATATACGTAGTAATAATGAGAATAATACAAATACCTATTTATATTATAGTATATGCATCAACAGTAATGTTGAATGGGTAATATTATAGATATTTTGTTATTTATTTTTATTATGTTTATAAAAGTTTAAATGAAACCTAAAGTAAAATAAAGTACTTACAAAAATAATTAGGTACATAAACATTTTTTTGGAAGAGGTGGGATTGTAGAACTTCAAAATGATTACTTAGATAGGTATCTTTAAAAATGTAAAAGTGTAAAAAGGCCCATAGCCATATGCTATTGGCCTCATTAGGTAGAGATCATTTTATATTTTAGCCGACCAAAAAAAAGGACACAAGTCGCCACTGGTTTTTTATCAAGCAATAATAAAATTGTATTTTAGTTGATAATTAAGTTATTTTTCAACAGTCATTAGTCTTTTAGCCCTTTGCTGTTAATAGGTCAGGAAAATTGTAATCAACTATATTAGTTGGTGTTTCAAATTATTTGATAATGTCCAACACTAGATACTAGTAACTAAAAATGAGATTATTCATAAGGGATGCATTGTTACATATTTAAATTTGTTGAGCATGTTAATAAATTAACATTCTCCTTCATATTTTTAATTAGAACGGACTTGTTGAAAGTAAATGATCAATCAGAAATTGGCTAACCAATTTTCATTCAAATATTTAAATATAATACACAAAAAATGTAAATAAAAAAACCACATTAAACATTTACATTATTGTTAATTTAATTCATATCTCGGAATATACAACATATATAATAATTAGACTGAAAATTAAAAAATCCAAGTGGGTTTTATTAGATACAGACATAATATTTTAATTTATGTACACATCAAAAATCATATAAAAGAGTAAAAAAATTAAAAATAATAATATAAAATGATTTTTATTAAATATGAACAACTATCGCTGAAATATTAGTTTGAGGTGACCAACACCCATTTTTCGGAGGAGATATTTGAATTTTGCCATATGTACCTGACATTGCTTGTTTTTGGGAATTATGTTTGACTAATTGACCAATGTTGACAACTATACAGTCATTTACAACCTGAAATAAATAAAAATAGAATATTTATAACTAATATAAATATTTAATAATTATTTTTAAAATTAGAAGTATAAGGATATAAATTTAGTTTAGAATAATTTAACATAAATATTACCCTTATAAATGTACGAAGTTGCGAAGATGTCAATATGATATGCGGAGTGTTTTGCTGCAGCGTACAATGTTCCAACCATAATAATTGATCCACAGGCACAGTTGGACTAGCAGTATATGAAGGATGTAAGCACCGTTGCCATATAATTTGCTTAGAAAGTTTTTCAAATGTTTCTTCTCTAAATAAAAAAAAAATAAAAAAACAATAAATTAATAAGTTAAAAAATTAAATATGATACTTAAATCAGTTGAACATCTATCAAAAAATTGTAATATTATGCATACTGTGTTTGATTGATGGTTGAAACGTGTAGATCCATAAGGGTATCACTTGCGTTACCAGCAATTATTATGTCATTCACGGAAAGTACACAAGGATCGGACACCATAAATACGTTATTAGGATACAAATTTGGTAACCTCGACTCAGTGTTTGGGGGCGTTGGGTAAAAAGCATAACAACTGGCATCTTTCCATGAACTGAACACCACTACTTTTGTATTCTGAGTACTAGGGTTGCTAAAATAAAAAAATCTATAATTTGTAAAAATGTGACATAATTGAGTGACTGATCATACACAAACCTAAACAATGGTTTTAGAATAGCTTCTAAAACGTCATCATAACATTTTTGAAGACTATCCGATGACGTTTTGTTTAATTGTGTCCCAAAATCTGCATCAAATATTGGACCCAATAATATAAGTAATTTTGCGTCCAACTCGATTGTTTTTTGGATTAGGGATTTTAATGAATTTCCGTGAGGAGATGATTCGCAAAAAAATGGCCCAGCAGCGACCATTAAGTTTATGTTACCTACAAAAAATATTTTATGCCTCAAAATTACGCTATATATTTTTTATAGTTATACGTTATTTTTAATTTATTCGTTAATAGGGTATATAAAAAATAAAAATAAATTTAACCAACCTTGCGAGAATTCTGGTAATTTTTTCGGCAATGGCAATGATGCATCAGCGTATAATTTCCTGGCTTTGAAAACTTTGGTCTCAGGATTAGTCCCATTAATAACTAATATTTGATTTACGAACAATTGCTTCATGGGTTGTTCAACTTCGGACAAATCGATTTTGATGTAACCGTATGGAGAACTAAGAAACAATTCTTTTTTTATCAACTTTAAACTGCCAGAAATTGTGATTTCTGTCTGAAATATTGAATAATAATAACTATATAAATAATGATACTTAAAATATTGTACTATAAAATAATAAACTATTTATTCTATTATTAAAATTAAAATTTTTTTTATTAATCAAAAATTAAAATATAAAACACAATTTTATTATGATAGTTAAATATTTTTATCAAAAATTGTACCCATTAAAACTGTATGTGAAAAATATTTATAACAATAACCAACACAAATCTATTATGTATATATATATATGTTACGGATGATGTTAACTTTTGGATAATGTCGACATTATCCGGCTAAAGTCCGACATTAGTCATCTGTTATGGCTAATGTGTAATTTTTTCGTTTATAAGCAGTAATTATTAACATTATCCGGATAATGTTATCTTTAACCAATCAATATTGGATAATGTTAAAAGTTGTATATTAAATAGACTATAGTTTTTATCAGTGGTGTAATGGAGGGTTCACCATCGTGTACATGCGTATAACCATTCTTTAGTTTATTTATTTTAAAAATATATCAACATTTGTTAGTTTACAATTTTACACTGGTGTTTCATGTAAATTGTTTTATCTCCATTAATCTTAATTTGTCAAGTATTAAGTATCACTTGAAAATTATTTTGCAATAAGTCCAATTATTATGCAATATTTTATAATTTATAGTTGCTATAAATAAAAATTAAAATGTAAATTATAATGTGACATGGCTGTAACATTTTTTCAAGCACAACATTTAAACTACATCATAATAGAACACTGAGTTATATTACATTAAAAATAAATAATATTGTATAGTTCATAATTGATGATTAAGAAATCTTAAGGGGGTGTGGGAGACGAAGCCATCCACATCATATTTTTACTGTGGAGATTTTATTTTTGACAGAACTTGGCATATACCCATTTGTATTTTTAGCACTATATCACTGGTCTTTATTAGCACTCTATACAATAATAAGGCGTTGGACTTCTAGAGTATAATATCTTATCTTGACTTGTAACCGAGTTAGTCAGTTATCTTTCCAATAAAGTGAACAATATACCGATATATGGATTTAATATTTATCTTAATTGTACGACATTTTTTTTGTTATAATTTTATATGCATTATACAAAATACGACGTCACCCATCGATCTGTTGTTAGTCTGCTTTCAGTTTTCACACGTGATAATTGCAAGTACAATGTTATTAGTGTTAACTGCGTTTTAGATTGCATTTTCAATAAAATGGAAACAAAACTGAAGTTTTATAATTTACTTGAGAAATTGTTGTCTGAAAAACGAGAAGATAATTCGTCTTATTTGTCAAATGAAAAATATTTGAATTTAGTTAATGAATTGAAAGGCGGCAATATATCTCGTCGTTTGAATAAATTTGAAATTATTAACACCGGAGGAGAAAAGAAACTTATAGCACCTGTTGAAAATGGTAGTACTAATTTACTGTATTACGTAAAAAATGATGAATTATATAACATTCTAAATGAGATACATCTTAATATTGGTCATGGTGGTATTTTTTTTTTACCACTGGTAAACATCGAATGATGGCAGAAATAAAAAAAAAATACAAAAATTTGACTCAAGAAGTTTTACTTATACTTTTAAAATTTTGCGGACCTTGTCAGACAAAACTGTTATCTAAACAAAAAGGCCTTGTAATTAAACCAATTATTCATTCAAAAATGAATAGTTTTGTCAGGTTGATCTCAGTTAAACAGTTAAATTTTTATGGTTGTTAAGACATTACCCAAAAGTTCTTGGCTAATATCATATCGGAGTGTCCGAATTGGTTCCGAAACGTCCGAATTGGTTCCCGGATTGATACGAAGGGTATATCCGAGTTGGTTTTCCCGGGTCAAAATATTTTCTTTTTTACTTCCCATTTTATTCAGACTTAGGATTGTAAATATAAAATTGATTTTTTTTCACTTTAATTTATATAATGATATTTTTATAATAATATAATAAACATAATATTAATTCGTCAATTTATTTTTAAGTTTTTTTTTTTTATTATTTTTTGTATTATTGAGGTAAAAATGTTTAACAAACATTTTTTATTAACTCTAATCGATTTATTTCATTATTGTTATATTTCTCTATTTCTGTTTTGATATACGTTTCTTTATTTTTAGATTTAACATTTTTTTTTTGTCAGTACTTCGTAATTTTACATAAGTTTTAATTTGAATTTTTTTTAATACGTTCATGAATTGGAAAATATTTGGATGTGCGGAATAAAAGCAACTGTTGAACTTGCTGTGAAATGATTCACAACAAATAGTTGTTCGTTCTATACTACTGGTATATTCAGCCCACATTGATGGTGGAAATAAGCTATCATTTTCAATATAATTTTTTAATATGTAATCAAAGAATTCTTCAAGTTTTCCATTAATCGGTTTTAATGACATCAAATCATTAGTAAAGCAATCGTTAACTTCTCCGGATGATAACAAAGATAAGCCAAAAAACAATTTTAATGTTTGTCCTATTTCGGAATCATTATTTTTAAATTCATTTGAAAGCCCTAATTGTTGTATCTTCCTCCACCATGATTGACCCAAGTGAAACCGACAACCTTTTAATTGGGCTAAAGGCCATACTTCGGAGATCGCTACATGAATGGCTCTTTAAAAATCCACATATATTTCATCCGGGCTTAAATAATTTTGAATTAAACGGAAAGCTTTTGTATACGTATCACTCGTTTTATTTGGAAGTAAAAAGAAAACTAGAGGAAAATAGTAATTATTTTTTACAACGTGAATTGAAAAAAGTTGGCAAAAAAGCTTTGGGCAGCTTTTAAAAGTACCGTCAATAAACACAGATTTTATTTGACGCAATAATTCCAAATTGCTATCACATGAAAAACCAATAATATTGGTTTCAGCACTGTTAATAAAATAAAAAATTTTCTCCACGATTAGTTATTAAATTATAATTATTTAAGATATTATGAATCTCTCTCAATGTTTTGGGCAACTTGGGTACTGTACTACATCGACTAGTATGTATATTTTTTCTAATTCTACGTACATCTTGAGCATCTATGGTTTCATTATCGGATTTAGCCAACTCACAGCGAATAATTATTGCTGGCTACTCATGTAATGCATCTTGAGCTTTTCGTTTTGGAATGTTGCTTAATTTCTGTCTGTTAAGTTTTTTTTCGTCGTCTTTTCATGGTTATAAATTATAATTTTATCAACAATTGTATTTAAATTATTTGTTTTCAAATACGACTTACATGCTCTTTTTCCACATGTTCAGCGGTCAATATCGTCTGCCAACTTTTTTTGAAACCCAAATTTATAACCTTCAAATACAATAAGTTTTTTATTTATTTCACTGTACATAAATTCCATATTCGAAAAGATTTAAACACAAATGCAATCACTAATACAAACACTCTGCGGTTATTACGGCGGATCACTGAATGCCGTACTGACTTATAAGTACGACTAGATATCCGTCAATATCGATAATATAATGCCCGTTTTATCACGGTTTTTATCTAAATGACAATTTATTTCATCTTATCCATTCCGAAATTCGTACTTATCAATCCACCTTGGTACCTACTTATAAAGATGGGAAATTTCAAAATGTTAGTAAAATAATAATATTAAATAATAAATATAATTAGATTAGATTTCGCCTTTTTTGAAAGTATTTATTGGGAACCAATTCAGATGTCAATTTTCAGGTATGGGAACCAATTCGAATGCAGCCTATCATATTATCCGGTTAATGCTAACATTAGCCAACATTTAATAATATTCATGGCGGGTAATGAAACAGTTGGCTAATGTCGACATTATCCAAATGCTAACATTACCCGTAACATATATATAATATCTATATTTTATATGCATTTATAGTACTATACAAGCATATAAAATAAACAGTAATCTATACTTACATCGTCGTTTCCACTGCATAGTTCAGACAACGGTGTAATAGGTTTTAAATTATTATTTTTAACAATGTCGGCAACTATCTCTTGAATATGGCTATCATATTTTTGATAATTAGTTTGACCAAATATAAAGTTTTTCCATAGATCTTGTTTTAATAAACACATTGATTCCACATCAGCTGATAAATCATTCTTGTTAACATTTCCACGCCCAAAATCGCACGCAATATCCCCAGCAGCAGAAAATACATTTTTTCTATTAAAATAACAATTATTAAGTACAATGAGAATAATTCTCAAGATTACTCTACCTAGAATGTCAATTTTATTATTTGGATAATTAATTATATAGGCCATATTAAAATTTATATCTATATTAATTTATATTTCAAACGTTCATAAAAAATGTAATTTTCAAAAACCTTTTACCTTTTTGAAGATGTTTAATGAAATCAAGCGTTCAATTTTTAACACAAAAAATACAAATTTTATTTAAAAATTAATAGTTAGTTTGACATATTTTAACTTAAATTTCAAAATATTTTGACTGTTATAATTTTTAAATTGAAAAATTACCAATATATAAAACTTAGGCTCTATTTCCAATCTTTTAGGATATGTTTAGTATGACATTTTTAGTAGGAATGAATTAAAAAATATGTGTTGAAAATAAAAATTAATAAATATTACTTTTCCCTTTATTTAATACACAATATAAGATAAATTTTAATTTTTATACGTAGTTTAATTACAATTAGTATTTGAAGTGAAACAATAATATTTTATTTTCATGTAAGAATAATTTTAAAATGTGAATCTATATATTAGTACAGTGGTTCATAATTGGTAGTCTGCGGACCCCTAGGAGCTCGCAAGTTGATTTTAGAGGATCTGTAGTTGGGTAGTACTGTAATGATATTTTAATTTTATTTTATTAACTTTGTAATCGTTTGAAATTCCTAATATTTTTGGACTATTTTAACTTGATTATCGCGAAAAAGATGGATAATCAATTTTATATAAATAATTATCATCAACCTGACCCAAACAATACGTGGATAAGAAATCCATTTTTCTGTGATATTGGAAAAATAAAAAATCTCTTAACCAGACCAATATGAATAGGTTTGGTAGATAACGGAACGATAAAAATTCGTTGATTTTTGATTAATTGTTCAAAATGATCAAAAGCAACTGGCCGAAAATATTTGATTCCCTTTTGCACAATATATAGATGTGAAAAAGCTTTTTTTAACTAGTTACTGACGCAAAATTATAAGTGAAAATATCAATCCTGCAGTCGAATTTGGATGAAATTGTGACCAAAAAAGAAATTGACTTGTCTTATAAAGTTCGAAAATCAATGCATAACTAATTTCAGTAACTCATAACTAAATATAAAAATATATTTTTTTTTTTTAGAAAATGTGTGTATAAAATTACGAAAAGGTTTGTCGAATTATAATAAATCATACTCTTTTTTTTCTTTTTCAAAATTGAAAAGTAAGTATTTACAAAAAAGGAATCCTCTGACCAATTTAAGTTATAGCTAGGGTCCCGTGACTTCACGCTAATCGGGAATCACTGTATTAGTATATTACAGTTGGTAAAAGGACATTTCTTCCCCGCCGTTTCGTACCCCTCAAAAAAAAAGAATTCAAGAAAGTTTCGTCTCCATCAATTATTAAGATAGGACGTTCGGCCCCCAGAATTTTAAATCACTAAATTTAAATTGTTTTTTTTTTTTTTTAACTTAAAATTTAAATTATTTTTAAAACGCACAATTGCACAACAAATTTAAATCCACAATAATCGTATATTGCATAAGCCGTATACGCCACAATCGGCGAACAGTTATAGGCATCAATAAAAAAAAAAACAATTATAATGATGATAATAATAATAATTTAGGTATAATTATATTAAGTAAACATAAATTATAAATATTATATGATTATTTATTCCTGTCACATTTGTACAAATATTATAATTAAAATAAATCTATATAACTCCCGGGGGCTAAATGTCCTATCTTAATAATAGACGGAGACGAAACGTCCGCGATTCTTTACAGTTATGAAAAAATTGCTATAATTTAGCTTAATTAGCATATAATCATAATATAGGTGCAGTTATGTTAAGTTGATCAATAAATTAATTAATTTCTATTTTAGACATTTAAAGCAGGTGTTTGGTTGGTTACAATAATTAGATTAGAGATAATGACAGTCATACAAAAACTAAATTACCATTTTAATCAAAATTTCAATTTATTTGTAAAATTAAAATTAATATATCAATTGCACTAATTGTAACTGTATTGCAACTGTACAACTAATTGTAAATTATAACTGACTTAGTACTATATTTTGAATATTGTAAAAATGTAATTTTTTAATAAGTTTTTAACATGTGTCAATATTATTGCCTAAAAAATAATTATTAAACCATTATAATAAATAATGTATGTTATAATGAGAAATAAAATGTAATATTTATATAGTTAACCACTATTGAAAATATTTTCACTTACCATAGTGTTTGATAACTTATTATTTTCAGATTAATTAATTTTTCAATTAAATTTGCAATACATTTTTTTGATTTTTTTACATTAGTATAATTAATAATCAAAATAAAAATTATAAAATGCTAATGAAAAAATTTAATATAATACTTTTCATACTTATTAAACAAGTAGGATGAAACTTTCCAAAAACAATTTAAAATTTGAACAATAAATATATTTATCAATTTAACTTATTTATAAGTTCTATCACACCTATATACACATTTATAACACCATAAAATATTTGGACATATATTGTATAGTTTAATCTACAAATAAGAAATAGTTATTACTATTATTGTTGTATTATATTAATGTATTAATATAATTGCAGTGGAATTGCTTTAAGAATTCAAACTGAATTGAATGTTAAATGTGCCACTGTACATTTATTATAATTATTATTAGCGTATCTATGGCTTTGATATATAAATTTTGATTCTTATATAAGTAAAAACTTTTTTTTTTTAATTTCTGTTAGATATGCTATTATTGTACACATTTTATTGTTCAAATATAAAATAATAATGTCATAAAATTACAAATTTGTACATACTCGTTAATATTATCTGCTTCAATAATGTCAGACACACGGATTTTATTTTCAATTAGTAAATTATTTGTCCCAAGTTCACTCTGAAACGTAACAAATATACTTGTAAATTTAATAAATTTAATTTATTAAACAATTACTACATTAAATAGCAATGTAATTTAGAAAATATGCAATTAATACATGTAATCTTTGAACAGTCTAATCTAATACACATAAAACCTATTATATTTACTAAGGGTATTTCCGAACTATTTAATTAAAGAACATATTAAATTTTATCAAATAGTAAATTTGAGTTAAGTAATGAAAAAAAAATTAAAAATAAGTAATAAATTCCAATAAATTTGATATACTATACCACAAAATTACCAAAACTCAAGTAATAAAATTAGCACAATTATAAATTAACAATAAATTTAAATAAATTATTTTACATAATTTACATAACATTAAGCAGGATTACATTCCACAATGTATTAAGTACCAATTTAAGAAAATTAATTTTATTATGGTATATTATATACTATACTATCAATATATACACCCTAATCAGAATATTAATTAATAGGTTTCAAAATTGTATTCTCGATACAAATATTACTATAAATTATAGTCAGATAGTTTTAATAAATATAAAAATGAACTGGGTAAATTGCTATTATTGATAAAACATATATAATAATTTTTATTTTATGTTTAAATTAATTATATGTTTAATTTTGTTATCATATTTAAAACTGAACAAACATTACCATTTTATATAGATAGCACATAATAAAAAATTTTTGTTACTCATAAATATCACATTTGACTTGCATAAAATTATAATTTAATATAATTTGTATTTTAAATAACAAAATGTTTTATCATTAACTTAACTATACAACATATACATGATAAAGAGTACACTAGGAACATATTTTTGTTTATATTTAAACTAAACTATTTAATTAAATTATAATGCTACAAATAGCTCTTTCTTTGAACACCAACATTTTTTGTTAATTTCCTATTATATATTATTATTGTAAACACAATAGTATTAGTAGTACTATTAATAGTAATAATTTAAAATATTCTATCAAATAATCTACCTTGATCATGCATTTTTTAATTGAGATATATAATGATAAATTTACAATCATATACATTTAATGCCCTGCCTAAAACAAATACTATAAATATAAAACTATATTAAATATAGTGTTCTAAAATTACAATAAAAAAATAATTTAACAACCATTAATGTACACCTTATTTATGTTAAGAATATCAATAAATAATTTAGAAAATTAATGTCAATTTCATACGACAGTTAATGATTATAATTACAATAAACATAACTATTAAATTAAATACAGCAGTTTCAAGTAACTAATACTTAATAAATTTAATTTGATAGCTGATTTAGCTCAATATTTCAACACAAATTTTACAAGCATTAATTTTATTATTATTAACTAAAATTAAAATAGCTATTATTAAAAAGGGTCACTATAGTTAAATTTTCTACTTACAATTATTATCCTTAAACTTAAAAAATATATATAGTATATTTGTCACAATATTCAAATACCATAAGAAATGTTTAACTCTTTAATAGACAATCCTCAAGATTGAAAGCACATGACGTGATTAGCCAATATTTTTTGTAAATAACCATATATTTAAATCAATAGAAGGTCACCATAATTTGTTTCTATAGTATATGTTAAAGACTATTATATAACAATAAAATGTACCATTGTTTCATTAAAGGTATTTCAGCCTTTATAAATAAAAATTTTTAAAAATAGTAACTAGTAAAATAGTCTTCAAATTCAACAAATTAAAAGTGATCTGTTTTATAGTTATTAAAAAATGAATTCCTCATTATGATAAATACAACAAGTCTGATGTTTTATATTTTATTGAAATACTTTGTACCATAATGTATGTTATAATTGTAATTATTTTAAAATAAAAATTTAAGTTGGCTTATTAAAAAACAAGATTGGTACATAAATATCAAATATAATACCTGACAAAACTTTTTATGAAAACAATTTTAATCAACAACAATATCGGTTACTACTTATGTGTTATATACACTTATTATTAACAATGATATTTTTTATTACTTAATTAAGAAAAATCAATCAATGTAATTTTTTTATTTATTATTATTGTACAAAAGTGTAAAACATAAAATTATATGAGATAGGTAATATTTCTATCAGTAAAGAATATAAAAAACCATTTCACCTAAGAGGTCATTCCTACAATCGATAATGATAATATTTTAGGTACATGCAAAACATGCAAAATTAAAAAAAAATATATTAAAGTATAAATATAATATTAATAAAAATCAATAGTTAAAAATAATTGTATAACATTTTTTTTAATGATTATGATAAAACGACAAATATTAAATCCTCACAAAAAAAAACACATGCGACTATTTAACAACATTAAGTATTAAATTGTAATCCTAACTACATTATTTATAAAAATGATTATATGTTAAACTACACAATATACATAACTATTGTAATATAAAAAAAGTTAAAGGTATGTTGTCATGAAACAGGTAAGCAGTTGATGAGTGTAGATCTAGTCACAGCTTAAAATTCAGTGTCGACTAGAAGAACACCCACGGACCGTCAAACCATTAAACATTACACACTATTTACACAAAACGTGAAGTTTTAGGGCAAAAGAAAATGATACAAAACAAAAAATAAATGTGAATATGAATTGAAATGAATTTCAATACCGTTATTATTATGATTTACTTTACTTACACACTAGGTGACGCACATAATAATTTGTACGAAAACAATAGGATTAACATTTTTTTTTTTTTTTAACCACACGACAGCGATTATTATACGATAAAAGTTCGAGAACTCTTTATGAGTAAACCAACATAATATTTTGCACAGTATGAACTAATGAATGCAAGTAGTTTGCAAGCACAGTACATAACTGTAGCAGAGCGTGCACAATATAAAAGTAGATTGATATTTATAATGCGAAAAAGCAAATGATCGAACGTAAAAATAACGATAAAAACAAATATAATTTTAAAAATGAAAAATAATAATGCAGGAAAAACCGTTTGCGAACGGAAAAAGTACAAAGAGAACGGAGAGCGTGCGTATACGTGAACGGTCGGGTACCAAAAAACCAGCAGAATATAACGCAGCGTCAAACGAGTTTATAACAAAACAACGTTCTACTTTCCCTCCACGCACAATTGTTATTACCGACTGGCGCGCTTAGAACATGGGGCGCCAGGGCGGCGCGGTGGCGGCGCAGCAACAGGCAATTGGCAACTACGACAACGGCGATTACGAAACGGCCGAATTAAATGGGCAGGGTGACGCGACAACAGAGCGGTTTTTGCATAGCATTTATTAAAAAACAAAAAACAAAATTAATGCAACTACGCTAGAACCCGCCGAATAAAGTGTCAAAAGAACGCGGGGTAAACGACAGAGTGCATACATTGACGAATAGGGTCAAACGAACGAAAAGAAGGCGGAGTAACGATGATTAATAAAAATATTACAGTATCGAATACCGGCGTGTTCCGGGACGGACGTTGCGGACTGGGCTTGACGGAAAAATGAACAGTGGAGAATAAAAACCCGCGACGACGCCACGCAAAGGAAACCGAATACTCGCCACTGGAAGAGAAGGAGGAGAACCGTGCACACACACGCACGTACCAACGCGCACGATCGCACGCATACGTACGAACGTGAACACACTCTCTCACGAACACAATATTCAATGTTATATTATATACATATGAGCACATACACACGTACGCACGCACGCGCGCGTACACTTATATATAAAAACATACACACACACACACAGATACGAGTGCGTGCGCCCATACACATACACACACACGCGCAGGATTAAACGACCAACTCCGGCGTTTTGGCCTTGAACAATACACATACGCACGCACGAATCATGATGACGCACACAAGAGAAACGCGTATACGGTTGAAAGGTAGAAAAAAAACCGACCAACAATGCGAGAAGGGGGCCGCCGCCGCATGGCTACCTTCAGGTAAGACGCGGCGGCAACCGGTGGATTCCAGTCGGCTTTCCAGTGTATACCCATGGCTGTGTGTAATATAATAAACATACAGAGTATTTCAACTAACGTATATATAAGTCTTGTCGAAGGGAATATGCGAGTAATTGATGTTATTTTTTGTCTAATTTTAGATTACCTTTCTCTACATCAAAAATAAGTACAAATTTCCAAACAAAATTAACAACAAATTACTCATATTTTCCAACAAAACTTAAAGTGTCACCCTGTATATATGTAAATAATATTATACATTATGCCAGCGTACGTTATTATATAACTCGAAATACCAATGGCGAGATCAAAATCGACAACGGCGAACACTTATACTTATTGAACATTACTGTATTATTACGGCACACACATACAGGGTATATTTATCAGGATAGTAGGATGTTCACCCCATGCTTATACCAATAAGTCGACGAATTTTTTTTTTCGTTAGCTTACATCTATGCATACTGTGTCGTGGCATCATTCGAATTATTTTAAATATTTACAATACATACACACACACACAACGCACGTCCTGCTGTTACCTACAACACCGCTAGTATTATTGAACTATACACCCATTTTTTCTATATACCAGGGTGTGTATGCGAGTATGTATGTACGATACAATATATGCTTTGTGTCGTAGATGAATCTTTAACCTTCAATCGTTATTCTTAGACATGACTCGACCACTGATTTGATTATTTTGGAACATGGGACTCGTCAACCATTTTTCGATCAAAACGAAATTTAGTTCACTTTTTAACCTATTTGTATAATAATGTGTTTTTAAAAAATATAGTAAACTTAAACAAATATTTTCTTAGTAAATATAAAAATGAAATTATTATAATATGCAAGTTATTAATATAAATATGTATATATATATTTATACAAGGTTATTTAGATAGGTGAAGAAAGTTTTATAGTAAAATAAAATGGAAAAGCTGTATTATAAAAAAATTATCTTAATACATTTAAGTTCAAGAAAAAAATGCACTACATAACATAACATACATAATATAACACTAAATAATTATAGATTTTATAATATTTTAGTAAATATACCTTCCGGAGAAATAAAACAAAACTATGATTGGCTTACTGACTATTTATGGTGTCATATATTAGTTCATTATGAATGTTAATATCATTGATTATATTTTATAAATAATTTTCATTTTTACTATAAATATCCAATAAATCAGATAAATGTATTACGTACTACGATTTATATTGTTTAGCAATTACAATGAAACTTTCATACATCGAAATCTTATGAATAGAGTAGAGGACTTAAACTTCTTAAAAAGTACTAAATATATAAGCACATATGCACCTAAAACCCTACAATATGCACTAAAAATATGCTCTTATATTTTTTTTAAAGCGATTTATTTAAAAAACATATAAATCATTTAAATGTTGCGTGAATTTTGTTTTTCAAAAAGTTACAACGTCTTACTTTAACACCACAATACTTACACTTTATCGTCAGTCGATAACACATCGACACTAAATTCCGATAAATAACTTTTTAACCGACAGTTTATTTTTCGGCATTTTAATGTTAAAACAGTACACAGACATGGAGTTGACACGAATTACGAATAGACGCAGATTCGCAGACGGGAGAACTAACACTAGATGACTAAAATATTTAATTATTAAAAAACAATGATTGACTAAAATCAGTACATTTTTTTAGTATCCTCCTATCGGAATTTATGATGTAGACCAGCGATTTTTAAATTATGGGTCGCTAATATATAAGATAACTAGTAAGGCGTTCTTGTAAATATCATTATGACAATCATTGTAAAGAATTACAATTGATAAAAGTTTAGGGTTGTCATTAATATTAATACCATTTAATTAATCATATTAATCATACTAATTTATAACTACTTTTTAATGTTATCATAGTAAAAGGGTTGCTCAAAATCTTGGTAGATCATTATAGAGGATCGCGGCTTCAAAAAGATAGAGAACCGCTAATGTAAACAACGTTTTTACTATTTAAAAATAAAATTAATCTAATCGGCGACCCTTGAGACGATTTCTAAGAAAAACATGCGTTTGCGATCAATCAACAACCATATTATTATATGAACAATTTTTTTTTTTTTTTTTTTAATTCAATAATATTTGATCGTATATTAGATAAAATAAAAACGTCGACGGAAAAATATTAATAAAATTATATATTATTTAAAAGTCACTTCTAAAAGAATAAAATGGAAGAAATATGCTTTAAAAACAAAAAAAAACTCGAAATATGCATTAAATGCTAAATAAAATATTAGGATTAACTTTTTGACAGCATAAAACATATTTATATCGTACTATACTAGTACTATTTTTGTGATTGTGAAAAACAAATATGCAAATGCTACAAGTCTTTTGCCCTACTCATAAGGAACAAAAACAATTCTTAAAATAGAGGAATTGGTAAAATAGAATGACTTAATGATTAACAATGAACGTTAGTCATGGTCCCTAAAAATAATTCGTTAAACAGAAAATTTCGTTTAATGTAAGTTTCATTGTATTTACAAAATTAGATGTCATATTTATAAATGTACCTTAATGTAGCTTAACAATTATGTTTAATAGAGCAAAAAGGAAAAAATTCCTTTTAACTTTTACCTTTGAACTATAGGTCACCAACAAAAGCAAGCTAAACATAATAATGCTATTTTTAATATTTTACAGATATACTTCAAATTATAAAATTAATTAAAATCGGCAAACAATGAATAGTAGGCTTTTTAAAAACTTGCAATCTGGTTTAAATAATTTTACATATAATTTTCAAAAAATATTTGATAAAAAAAATATCAATAATCTACAATCAATTTACTTTAAAATAAATAAGACCAACATATAAAATACACATTAAATAATATGCACAACTAAAAATAAATTTAACACAGTTAAATTAATACTTAAAGAATACTAAATAAATTTCAATATTTTTGTTAAATATAATTTACTTCATATTGTAAAAATTATTTTTATAACAGTGTACATTATTTCATAGGGATCATAGAATTAGATATCAAGATAGGTCAGAAGGAGCAGAGAAAAAAATTTGAAGGGTCGAATCCAACATAATTTACAGAGAGTATTCAAGACAAAACCTGAATCACTTTAGCAAAGACACCACAATCATAATATGCTGATGGTGGTGTCTTTGTTTTGATGTTTTTATCTTTCATACATTTGTGTAAAAGTAAAATTAACTATCAAATATATATCTATAGAAACAATATGTACACCAAAAATATTGTAACCACATATTCTGAGACCTCATTAAAATATATAGTTGTTATGCTCTAGTAGGTAAGGGAGTTTTATCACTAATAACATTATTTAAAATATTCTTTAATGCAAAATATTATGTATACAATTATATTTATTATAATGTGAAGTTAATATTTTTACAGAACTGATAATCGAGAACTCAGTAATTTAAAAAAAAAAAAAAAAAAACTATATAATAATATTACACATCTATAATATTGATAGTTATTATGATATAAAATTATACTAGATTGTCTATATTTTTCAAAAAAATATTAATAACGCATTATAAGTATTAAATTATAATAAAATTATCATCCTGGATAAAATAATGAAATGAAATGTAATAAAAAAATTTCCCAAAATCAAAATGAAAACAAGTATAAATAATTAAAAACATTTTTATTAATTTATAATAAATATTTTATTGGTAAATTATTACAATAGAAAATAATTGTAATCAGTGTAATATTTGTCTATGGTATTAGAATGGTAAAATTATTTTGAGATATAACTAAATAATTTTAATTTATATATATTATGCAAGTCAATAGGTCAATTTAACAATGTAAATGATGAATATTTCAGTTACTCTGAGAATTACTTATACAACTCAATTGAACTAGTATTAAAACAATTAATAATTACCAATAGCATCATGATCAATAAAAAAAAAGTTAAATAATAAATTAGTGACTTACTTTTAATGATGCTTCATTATTAACTGATTGCAATGAAACCTTTTCATTTAAATTTGATTTATTTTCATTATATCTCCTAAACAAAAAAATATATGTACGTAAATATTATCAATTTGAAAGTTTAAATAATTTGTCCTTTCTTTAGAGCAAATATAAAAACACTTAAAATACAATTGTTTAGTTTTTTTTTTTTAAACCAAATAAAATAACACATGTTCAGATTCTTCAAATGTATAGTGATACACAAATCCAGGAAACATTTTTTTTTAATAATACTGATTATAATTATACTTATAGAATAATAATAATAGTTGGTTAATAAATATTTGTATAAATGCATTACAAAATATAAAATAAATGTATGAAAAATATATGCGTAAAAAATCAAAATATTCCAATAATTGTATTATTAATTTTTATAATAAATAACTCTTATGTCAGTTATAGACAAAATAAACAATTCCCACAAAAACCAAGGTGTTGGCTTCAACAAGCAGCTGCAGTGAATATGTTAAAGTTACTCAATAAATATAGTACATAAAGAAATTACTTGTCACTGGCTTTTTGTTTATCATCTTTTTTGACAGACTTAAGTAAGGTAATAATTCTTTCTTTATTTAAATCATTTGCGTCAACTTGAGATGATGCACAATAAGCTATCCAAGATCCAACCAAATCTGATGCTGATATTTTATGCGCATGACATGCAATGACACCTAAAAAATAATAGCATCAAATCAAAATCTTAAAAAAAACTAAAATATTTAAGACATTCAAAACTCAAATGATTAATTAGTTTTTAGGTTTAAGGTGGTGATAATATATGACTAAAATTCTTAAACCTTTTGAATTATAATGGTTTTTACATTTTATTTTAATTAATTATTTAAAGTAAGTATTTATAAAAAAATTAATTAAATTATTACATAATACTACATGAATATTTAAATGATATTTCATAGTAAACAGAGGCATTTTTAGGATATTTTAAAGGATATGGATAAAAAAAAATTGTTACAAAATAAACCAAATAAGGCTTTATGATTAACCCTACAATGACTGCAAAACTGCTTTATTTCTGGTTTTATTACTTGTATCTTTAATTCAGGTCATTAATGTTATAATTTTTATTACATATTATAATAAAAATAATTTATATTTATATTCATGAATCTAAAGCAATTCATACATTTTCTTGGATTTTAGAGAAAAAAAAAGACTACAAAAAGGTACCCATCCCCCATATCACCTCTTGTGAAAAAATCTATAATCAAAATAAATACGGTTAACAACTATTGTTTTTACTGAGCCATATTCATTAATCAAATATTAACATAACTATGAAAATATAATAATATCAATACTTAAAAATAATTAAAAAATATTTTAAAATCAAACTAATAAAAAGTAAATAAATAAAACATTAAAAATATAGATGATTGTAGTTGTTAAATCATATAATAAATAGTATAAATAAATAAAAATAAAGAAAAACTAGTAAATTACTCTCTTCAAAATCTACAAAATACTTAACAATTTAATAAAGAAAAGTATTAGACTATACAGCTATTATTTTATTATACAATTTCATAAAGCAATAATCTAAATCAACGGGCTAACTATGCAACTGCTTGCTGCTCATACTAAAATTAACTTTACGTTTTAAAATCCAACATTATTTATTTTATTTATATAAATTTTATACTTATTTTATGGTTTTATTATACGCAATATCTTTCATTTATATTATCTTATAATTATAATTCATTAATTGTCTATTTTGTACTTCTATCGAATTATCAGTTTGACAGATAAGTAAGTAAGTACATATATGTTTATTTATTTTCACTATATAGCCTAGTGCGGACAATTAATCCCTTACTGTTTTTCTGTAATTTATCACATATTGGTATATTATTATAAAATCTGTGATAATTTTATTAATTTAAATTTTCTTTGATTGCAAAACATAATATTAAAGATGAACACAAAATATTTCAAGTCAACTATAAAAAAAAAATGTTCTGTAATTCAAATAAAAAAAAAACTATGTTATCTATTTCATTATTTATAAAACCATAAAAATTTGAAATGGTTATAATGTATTGTACTACGTATCATTCGGCACGCTACAATGTATAATAAATAATATAATAAATAAATAAATAATATAAATCATTTTTTTAGGAAATTAAGTATTTGATGTAATAATCAACAAATTAATAGAATGATTATATTTTTTATTAGTATTAAATTTGTAAATAAACATAAGGTTTACTTCTCAATTAATTTAATTAGTTAAATATTAGACAATAAATAATTTGCTATAAATCAATAAATTTTAGATATAAATAATACTTATAGATATCTCAGAGCAAAACTTTATAAGGAAAACTGATGCATAGCAGCCTTCAACAATAAAATTAATTCACATAAAAGGTTTGAAAAATGAAACTGCTTAAAACAAATTGATAAACATAGAAGAAACAATAAACTCAACATCATATAATATAGTATGTATACTTACATTCGTCAATGATATCATCATCAATAGTCAAGCCCATGTCATCGAATTCACTTACCAAAAGCGAACGGTCCATGATTGCTGGTGAGATTAGAATTTTTCACAAATAAGAATTAAATGCTCAACGTTACAAACATATGGACATTATGTGTTTAAAGAAAAAAAAGATTTGATTAGATTTTTATTTTTTAATTCCGCACGTCAGCAGTATAATTCAAGTACTGAAATTGTCCAACACCTCAAAAAAGAAGAAAAAAAGAAAAAACTATAGACTATTCAAACGTAATTACTATGATTATTATAAAACTTTACATTAAAGACACTTCAAAATACCGGCAGACCATGTAAAACGCATATTTCATTGAAATAAGTGCAATAATCTCGGCAATCGGCGTTCATCGACAAATAGGCGGTACAAAAAAAACAAACACAACGAAATTCGGCGGTATAACCTCGAAATCAACCTTTACACAACGTTGAAAATTTAAACGTTTTTGTGACGTTTTGTCGTAGTTCTCGGTGCACATTAAACGTATTCGACAGCTGACCGAAAATATTCGTTCTGATGCCGGATTATCACGGACATTGGACACTGAAAGAAAAATATTAATGTTGTTGATAGATTTAAAAAAAATGTGATAATTCTATATACTGTCTAGTTTCGATGTTCATGATGAAGTGGAAAACCTTTAATGACACTAATGAATCGAGAGACTTACTCAGCTGGGGAGTGGAAAGTCTACTCCAAGTTGATTTATTGGTTCGTTTCTCATGAGACATTAGATACATTGGCGCACATGCAAAGGGATACATATTTGTAAATTTGCACCCTCAGTTTATTTTGAGGTAAAAATATTGTTTAAAGAGGATTATTTCGCGTTTACGAGAATAAACTTATTCCAGTTTATACGAACACAAAACGTACGTAAAGGGTTACCATCAGTACATGTTAGGATTGCCATAAATTTATAAGGCAAAACCGGGACAAAACAAACACCATATTGAAAAATATACTTTTTATTATATTAATTACTTTTAATATATTGAAAGGACCATTAATGGCAGGCAATATAATAATTAAAATATTTTTGTAAAATAAAATATGTTATATATTTATACGTGTAAATTACGAATTATGGTTTTATTATATATTGTCAATCTTTTACGATTAAAAATGTAATTTGAGATAAAAAGCCGGGGCATATGGACATCCTGAAAACATTTTTCAAGACACCGGGACACGAAGTCCAAAACTGGTGACAATCCCGGTTTTCCGGGACGTATGGCAACCCTAAATTTTTTATATTTTCATTTTATATATTAATTTAATACATTTATATGTATTAAGTAAACACTTTAAGTACAATCAAGATGAATTGGTAAGTAGTCGAAATAAAGTTGTTACAACAAAACCAAATTGAAGTCAACTGTGATGCTAAAATACTTTGGGTTTGGCTTCAATGGTTAAAATAATTTGATAAATATTGTATTTTTGAACTATTTATTATTATGATAAAGAAATTTGCAGTAGGTAATGTCAGTTACAAGTTATACATGTAAGCGATCATTTACTAAATTAATATTGGTGAAATCAAAATTAAGAAGTACTATGCTTCAAGAGAGATTAAATAGGTAGCTTAATGCTTTTAACTAAAGAGCAAGAAATGGGTTAAAAATCCTGATGACATTATTAATGATTTCAAAAATTCGACTTTACGTCAAATTGTATTATGATCAATTATAATTATTTACCAAATTTATTTTGTTTTTTTATTGAAGTATATGTGTTTATATATATATAACTTATATAAGTTATATATATAACTAACACTTATATATATATAAGTGTTTATTTACACTATTTAAATATAATACTCAAATCATTTGAAGTGTTATATACCTATTCAATTTGTTTTCTTGTGTTTTATTTTTAAATTATACTGATGAAAACAGTTATAACTAGGGCTGTGAATTTGTAAGCAAGTTCATATTTTTGTTGGTAATTGTGAAACGTAATAATACATAATATAAGTACGTAATTTGAATTATGTAACTACGAATCCATTTATGCAACTATTATTTTGCATTTGTTTTTGCATTTTTTGGCGTTTTTAATTTTTTAGGTAGGTAATTTTTGTGCGTTTTTAGGTCATATTTTCATTTTTTAGTTCATTTTTTAGTATTTTTAATAAAATTCTAAAGACTAAAGATGAATAAATTACCCAAAAATAAATATATTTAAGTTTTTTTTATTAGTTTAACAAAATTAATAATAAAAAAAATTATAAAAAAATGTTTCATGAAAATTAAGTATATCAAATTCAATCAAAATTTTTATTATTATTATTTTTTATTAAATAAATACTTATTTATAGGTACATGTAGTGTACTAATGTATAATATCCTGTACCTACCTAATATTAATATAAATACAAAATTAAATTAAAAACCATTTTAAATGAATTTTGTACTATCATTTTTGGCATTTTATATTGCATTTTTTCGACATTCTTAATGCATTTTTGAGGTTATTTAGTACATTAAATTCACAGCCCTAGTTATAAAAATAAAGAAAAGGTTATTGAGTCACTTTTTTTAAGAAAACAATTTTAATTTTAAATTAAACAATTATTTAGACATTTGTGTGTATATTTATACCAGCATTTTGAACGCATTTATAACTTCCATTATGAGGAGGCCAGTGATTGAGATAACCTTCTGCATACCTACCTAAAAAGAGGTTTATGCACGCCTATGTTATGTATATTATTTATAATTAGAAGTCGGATTTTTATGATTTTACATATTTGTTTCTAGTCTATGCAATTAAATGGAAGTGAGATATAATCTTTACGATTCATGAAACACAAAATTCACGTAAAAAAATTTATTTTGCATAAAAAGCATATTTTAGGGGTCATGGAATATTCAATAAGTTAGAGAATATTTTATAAACATTCTTTCTGATGAAAATAATTTATCATTATATTACCTACCTATTATTTGTCTGCACATTCATGTATGTAATACGTACATCGACATTTTGATAATATTGATCAACAAATGCAAAAATGTGAATTATTTTTATATCATTTTAGATTGTTATACAAATTAGTCACTAGATATTAGGGATAACCATGTATGGGTAAAATTGCCATTAAACCGATTTTTTTTTCAATTTTAAAAATAATATTTAGTAATTGATAAATTTATACCAAGTAATTATAATATTTTTTTTTTACACAATATCGAAAAAATATTTGTATTTTTAAAGACATAAATCATTATATTTTAAGGATTTTATAAGAATACGATTAGAAATTAATAACTCTTATAAATCCGATCTCTATAATTGATCGGCACAGACGATATCGACGTTATCTACGCTTTTCCTTGAATTACTGTGTACAAGCAGTGGTGTATTTGAGGGGGGGGGAAACAATGGGGGCGATGTTAAGTATCCAAGTTATTTGTATATATTATACATTTATGTTAACAAAATATTACTTTTAATTTTAGCTTTATTGTATTTTATTTACCTTTCTTAAGATGTGCAATGTGTAAAAGATGCAAGTATAAAATGGACTAATAGATTCAAGAACATAAGTATATATATTAGGATGGTCCTTAGTCATAGAAGAAGAATTTTTTTTTAAATATTCTTTGGCCAGGTACCCACCATTTTGTTCATTATAATCAGTAAGTAATTGGGGCTAAATTTGGGCATGATAACTCACCCTATTCCCATGCTTCAAGAGGGTTGAAAATTTGTCTTAGAGGGTAGTTTTTTAGTTAAGTGAATTTAACTCAAACACTTTAGTACTTAGCGAAGAAATGTATAAAAGGTTAATTATATATTTTAATATTGCTCATAAAATATATATTTAAAAAAATTACTGTTAGTCTGTAATTTTCCAAGAAAAATAGTTAAATACGAAATATTTTATTTATTATTTATTTATACATTTTTTCATATTTTTAATATTTTATCAAATATTTGCAAAATAAATAAAATATTTCGTATTTTACTATTTTTCTTGGAAGATTACAGACTTAAGACGATTTTTTTAAATATATATTTTATGAGAAACATTAAAATATATAATTAACCTTCTATACATTTTTTCGCTAAGTACTATAGTTTTTGAGTTAAATTCACAAAACTACAAAACTACTCTCAATGACAAATTTTTAACCCTCAAGAGGCAATGAACAATAATGAACAAAATGGCGGGTACCTGGCTCAATATTTTGAAAGTTAAAAAATAAGGACCACCCTAATATAGGTATATATAAAAAAATATTGTACCTACTTAACTAGTGTATAATGCTTGTAAATTTAGTACCCCTCCCTCCAGTTTATATATATATATTTTATTATATATATATATTATTATATATATTATAACCAGTTTATATATTATTATAGTATATTATAAAATCAATGGTGCAAGTCTCTCATTATTGAAAATTGGAATTTTTCCATCTTCAATATTCAGTTACTTACCAATTTAGTAATTTATCTTTGGTTAGTATTCGGTAATTCACTTCAATGGTTTTGTCTACTGTTACTTTCTCATGTACGTAACTACCATTTATGAGTTGTGTTATTATACTAACTATTTATTAGGTACCTACATATGTATTACACATATAAGACATATATTATATGTCTCGTCGAAAATGTAAATTTAATAATAAATAAATTATTATATACAGGTATATAACTATGTTCCAAATTTTTACTGCATATTATGTTTTTTAATGCATATGTATGCGCATAAAGTTCCGAGCCTTGCTTATTATGTATGACCAATCGACGTGTCTACTCATGTAGCTTATTTCTATGCGGCCGCCTGGGGCAAAACGAGTAAAACTTCTCAACACGAAAAGTTGTAAAAACTTTTTTTTATAAATTTTTTTTTATTACATACTTTGTACATAATAACTAATCATAATTTACTATAGGAATCTAATAGTTTTCTTATACCATTTTTGGTGGTTCATTTTCTCCTGTGCACCATAGTACAAGCCATTACTATTATTAGTATTAAAATAAAAAAAAATATTTATCATATCTAAACTTATATTTTTACTTCTCATAGTAAAGAATAAGAGATTTAATATTTATAATAAAAATTAGAAATTGAAATTTTTAAAATAATTTTTTTATTTTATTTTCATAAATTATAAAATTCGAATTGATTATTAGATAAATACTCTACTGTTCTGTCGATTGAGTGGTGTCACTTGCATAATTTTGAAAGAGTTCATACTTTTTTATATCAATTAAATCCTTTTGTGGTTCACTTGAATTTGAATTGAATAATGATTTCATTAAATATTTTAAGTTCCATGTTCTAGTTTTTAACATATTTTGAGGAACTGTACAAAAATTGCCGGAAAATGTACTAGTGTTAGACTTGGATTCGTTTTGCATAACTTTGACTTTATATAATACTTTTGATTAAAGTTTAAT